CCAGCAGAAGAAGTGAAATCATTAAGAACAAATCAGAACTAAACGAAATTGACAACAGGGAAACAATATGGAAGATTAATAAAACAAAAAGTTGGTTCTTTGAAAAAATAAACAAAATTGACACACCATTGGCTAGACTAATGAAAAGCAGAAAAGAAAAATCTCTAATAAGCTCCATCAGGAACAATAAAGGAGAAATTACAACTGATACCATGGAGATACAAGATATAATTTATGAATACTACAAAAACCTCTATGCACACAAACTGGAGAATGTGGAGGAAATGGACAATTTCTTAGAAACACACAGCCTCTCTAGGCTCAACCAGGAAGAAACAGAATTCCTGAATAGACCAATATCAAGTACTGAAATTGAAACAGCAATAAAAAACCTTCCTAAAAAGAAAAGTTCTGGACCAGCTGGTTTGACACCCAAATTTTACCACACCTACAAGGAAGATCTGGTGCCTATCCTGCAGAAATTATTCCACAACATCGAGGAGTACCTACCTGCATAAGCCAAAAGGCAGCATACCTCTCCATTTTTCCAATGAGCAGCAGAGTTTCTGGAAGAGGAGAACAGGAGAATCAAAAATCTATATGTGCTGAGCCAAGGAAAGAGGTTCCAGATCAGAAGGAATCAGCATACAAACTTTGGAAATATGAAAAAAGTAGGCTGTTTCAACATCTGTGAAGTGTTCACTCCAGTGTTCTCTTCTTGATATTCTTCTGTTCAAGGTATGATTTTCTCCTATAATTTTGGTTCTTGTTAGAGAGGGCAGGTATCCAATGTCTCTAGTCAGCCATCTTGAACTAGAATACTAGCTCTCCAGCAATGCATTTTAATCAAGAGGAAATTTTTGAAAAGCCACATATAGAATTCAAAATATGGATCGAAAGTAAGTTCAATGGGGTTGATGAGAAAGTTGAATATCAACACAAAGAAATCAAAAAACAAATTCAGGACATGAATAAAAAATTCACTAAAGAGATAGATGGTTTTCAAAAATGGAACTTATGGAAATGAAAGTGTCATTTAGGGAATTTCAAACCATGGGGGAAAGTTTTAACAACAAATTAGACCAAGCAGAAAAGTAACTTCAGAGCTTTAAGACAAAGTTTTGAATTAACCCAGTCAGCAAAAATAGAGAAAAAAGAATCAAGAGAAGTGAACAAAATCTCCAAGAAATATGGGATTATGTAAAATGTTCAAATATAAGAATCATAGGTATCCCTGAGGGAAAAGGAAATGAAAAGAATGGGAAATCTGTTTGAGGAAATAAAGGAGGAAAACTTCCGTGGTCTTGTTAGAGATTTGTACATCTGGATACAAGAAAGTCACCAAACTCCTGGAAGACTCATTGCAAACAGGACATCCTCAAGGTACACAGTCATCAGACTGGCCAAAGTCAAGCTGAAGGAGAAAATTCTGTAAGCTGCAATACAAATGCATCAAATAATTTACAAAGGAAAACCCATTAGACTAACAGCAGATTTCTCAGCAGAAACCTCAGAAGGGATTGGGGTCTTATCTTTAGTCTTAAACAGAATAACCACCAGCCAAGATTTTTGTATCCTGCAAAACTAAATTTCATAAGTGAAGGAGAAAAAAATTGTTCCCAGAGAAACAAACACTAAGGGAATTTGTCACCACTAGACATGCCCTTCAAGAAATGCTCAAAATGTCCTAAACACCAAAAAGAATAGTCAACAGTCACCAGTGAACAAACACTCTAAAGTAAAAATTCACAGCTCTTGTAAAATCGTAACACAAGGGAGAAAACAAAGCAAATAGATGACAATCAACATAATGACTGAAACAGTATCTCACTTAACAATACTAACATTGAATGTAAATGGTCTAAATGCCCCATTTAAAAGAAATAGATTGGCAGAATGGATTACAAAAACAAAAAAAAAAAACCCCAAATGTCTGCTGTGCCCAAGAAATCCATTTAAATTGTAAAAAGTTTCACAGACTCAAAGTAAATGGGTGAAAAAAATATTCTACACAAATGGAAACTAAAAATTAGCAGGAGTAGCTATTCTTTGTCAAATAAGGCAGACTTTAAATCAACAACAGTAAAGAAAACCAAAAACAAAGATAGTCATTAGATAGTGATAAAGGAATCAATTCAAAAATAAGTTAAAAAAATCCTAAATAAATATGCACCTAACACCAGAGCTCTGAGATTCATAAAACAAATACTACCAGACATAGGAAAAGAAATAAACAGCAACATGAATTGGGGGACTTAAATACCCCACTGACAGAACTAGACAGATCATCCAGGCAGAAAATCAGCAAAGAATTATGGGACTTAACTAGGACTCTAAAACAAGTGAATCTAAAAGATATTTACAGAACATTCTACCCGGAAACTGCAGAATATACATTTTTTTTTCATCAGCACATGCAGCATTTTCCAAGACAGACCATATAATAGGTCACAAAACAAGACTCAGCAAATTTTAAAAAATTGAAATCATACCATGTATCTTCTCAGATCACTATCTAATAAAACTAGAAATCAATGCTAAGAGAAGCTCTCAAAGCAATACAACTATATGAAAATGAAACAATCTGCCACTGAATGATCATTGGGTTAATGAAAAAATCAAGATGGACATGAAAATATTTTTTTAATTGAATGACAATGGTGACACAAGCTACCACAATCTCAGGGATACAAAAAAAAAAAGCACCAAAAGAGAAATTCATAGCAAAAAGAGCCTATGTAAAAAAGATAGAATGATCATGAATTAACAACCTGATGTCACCCCTCAAAGACTAGAAAAATGAGAACAAACCAAACCTGAATCTAGCAGAAGACAAGAAACATCAAAGATCAGAGCAGAACTAAACAAAATTGAAACAAACAAACAAACAAACAAACAAAATTACAGAGAATCAATGAAACAAAACGTTGGCTCTTTGTAAACAGAAATAAAATTGAGAGACCACTAGCTAGATTAACCAAGAAAAGAAGAGAGAAGATTCAAATAAGCTCAATCAGAAATGAAAAAGGAGACATTACAAGTGATACCACAGAAATACAAAAGGATCACCCAGGACTACTATGAACACTTCTATGCACACAAACTAGAAATTGAAAGGAAATGGATGAATTTCTGGAAATGCACAACAGCTCAAGCTTCAATCAAGAAGAAATAGAAATCCTGAATCGACCAATAATGAGTTGTGAGATTGAATCAGTAATAAAAAATCTCCCAACAACAAAAAGCCCCAGTACGAGACAGATTCACAGCTGAATTATACTAGACCTATAAAGAAATGTTACCTATCCTACTGAAACTGTTCCATAACATGGAGAAGGAGGGAATCCTCCCTAACTCATTCTACAAAGCCAGTATCACCCTGACACCAAAGCCAGGAAAATAAACAACAACAACAAAACTACATATCAATACCCCTCATGAACGTAGATGTAAAAACTCTTAAGAAAATACTAGCAAACTGAATCCAATAGCACATCAAAAAAACTAATTCACCACGATCCAGTGGGTTTCATTGCAGGGATGCAAGGATGGTTCAACATACACAAATCAATAAATGTGATTCACCAAATAAAGATAATTAAAAACAAAAACCATATGATCATTTCAATAGATGCAGAAAAAGCATATGATAAAATACAGCACCCATTCATGATGAAAAACCTTAACAAACTAGTCATAGAAGGAACATACCTTAAGGTGATAAAAGGCATATATGAAGAACCCACAGCCAAAATCATATTGAATGAAGAAAAGTTGAAAGCATTTGCCCTGAGAACTGGAACAAGACAAGGATGTTCACTTTCACCACTTGTATTCAACAGAGTGCTGGAATGCCTAGCCTGAGGAATCAGGTAAGAGAAAGAAATAAATGGCATATAAATGGGATAAAAGGATGTCAAACTATCCCTTTTTGCTGATGATAGGATCTTATATTTAGAAAACCCTAAAGACTCCTCCAAAGGACTCCTAGATTTGATAAATAAATTCAGTAACATCTTTGGTTACAAAATTAGTGTCCACAAATCAGTAGCATTTCTATATACTAATAATAGTAAAACTGAGAATCAAATCAAGAACTCAATACCATTTATAATAGCTGCAATAAAATTAAAATACCTAAGCATATACTTAACCATGGAGGTGAAAGGTCTCTACATGGAGAACTACAAAACACTGATGAAAGAAATAATTGATGACATAAATGGAAAAACATTCCATGTTCATGAATTGCAGAATCAATATTGTTAAAATGTCCATATTGCCCAAAGTGATTTATAGATTCATTGCAATTCACATCCAAATACCAACCAATGCCATTTTCACAGAATTAGAAATAACAATCTTAAATTTCATATGGGATCAAAAAGACCCTTAATATCCAAAGCAATACTAACAAATCTGGAGGCATCACATTATCTGATTTCAAACTATACTACAAAGTTATGGTAACCAAAATAGCATGGTGCAAATGTGTGTAGGTGCTGCTGCCCAGGAGCTGCAGAAGCCAGCCAGGGTTAGTGGACAGGCTAGCGTCTGGATTGCACAAGAGGTCAGGAGTGGCTGTGTGCTTTCAAAGCTGCACAGACCGCTGCACTCTGCAAGGTGCAATCACATCCACAGGCCTCAGGATTGGGGGCGGGGGTGGGGGTGGGGGTGGGTTTCCCTCTGCAGTCCGGTGAAAGCCAGGCGGCAATCACTGCAACTCCTTCTCTCAAGCTCAGGTTGCCACACTCTTCCCCTGCACACCGTGCAGCAGTGCCTTCCTGGAGCGGGCGTGGAAAGGGATTGAGTGGGCAGGTGGGTGGGACAGGCTTGTGCTGATGCACCAGACTCCCTGATGAGCACCCAGCAGCGCCGCCGCAGCGCTGGCAGGAGGGCCAAGGCGAGAGGAGGGCACCGAGGGGGCGGGGCAAGGGGCGGGGCACCGAGGGGCGGGCCCGAGGTGGGGCGGGCAGAGGCGCTGACTGGCTGTCCCCGCCATGATCCCTCCAGCGCCCGTGTGGAGAGCGGGAAAGAGGCGCTCGGCCTCAGCAGAGTCTCGCTGCCTGCACGCGGAGTCCTTTCCCTGCCTGAACGCGGCCGCCTCAGCCCGCGCGCCCTGGGAGAGTCCCCGATCGCTCGAGGACCCGCACCAGAAAGATGCGGCCGTTGAGCTGGGCGCGTGCCCTCCGCCGCCGCGGCCCCCGCGCTCGCCACAGCCTCGCGCCAAGCGAAGGACGCGGGGGTTTAACGCTCACGGCTCGAGGCCGCGAGTCCGTTGCAGGACCTCCCGCATTCTCCCGCACTTGCCCACCGCCGCGCCACGGTTTCCCGCGGCGCTCCGGCATTTCTCGCGTTCCGGCATTTCTCGCGTTCCCTCGAGTTCTCCCTGTGGAGAGTTCGGATTGTTTTCTTCCTCTAGGAAAGACCCCGCAGCCTCCCAGCCGCTTCCTTCAGCCGCGCGATCCGCAGCCCGGCTCCTCCCTGCGGGGGGGGGCGCCGGGCTGGGGCGGGACCCGGTTCCATCCGCGCTCGGCCCTCGGTCCCCGAGGTGGCCTGGGCGCCACTGCCCCTCGGCGGGGCCGGCACAGAGGTCGTCAGGGCCGGCGGCGTCCGCACCTGAGGGACAGCCGGCGCTGACGCAGGTGGGCGGCCGGGCCGCGGCCTCGGGTCAGCCCCTCGCCCGGCCTGAGGCGCCGCCGCTCCGCGTAAATGGCGGGGTTCCCGCTCCGTGTAAATGGGGAGGGGGGCTCCCGCTCCACGTAAATGGGGGGCGGTTCCCGCGCCCGGGCGGAGGTCCGCATGACTCCGGGTCTTGGAGGTGGTGGTCAGGGTTGGCGGTGCGGATTTTTGTCTACTGGGGAGTGGGAAGTAGCCATGTCCTTCCACCTCCCGCTCCCCAGCATAAGACATTCTCATATTTGGCCATTTTTTTCCTTGTGGTCGGGGTGACCCTTATAAAGCACTGCCTTTATAAATCATGTGATGGAATAGTGACACTGAGCCAGCTAGTTAGTTTTACATGGTTCCCAGTCGAACAACCACTTTCCATGCATGGCTGGCCTAGGCTCCCAGACAGTGGGTGAAAACTCTGGCCAGGATAAGGTGAGAGGCTATAGTAGGAAGAATGACTTTGGTGAGACAGTCTAAACTCCACTCATGGCTGTTTGTGATTATATTGTTAGTTTAATCATGTATCTCTAGAGTCTGTTTTTAGAGGTGTTAATTATATAAGATTGAATTTAGAGAGTAATTACCTGAATAATTCAAGTGGAATAAAACCTCATTTTGCCACAAATTTTAGGTCATTGGAAACAGTACCTGAATTATATTTATATACAACTTAGGAAAACATAAGAAAATGATTCTTTTTAAGTTATAGCAAGAAGAGAAAGCTATTTGGAAAGAGTGATTCTCAAATGTGGAAACATTTAAATTTAAAACAAAATTTTAAGGTTCATTAAATTTTTATGTGAGAACTAGTCTCTGTGCCTTTGCTTTAACTGTTTTCCTCCCCTTTAATTGTCTTTCGTTGAAGGCCAGTTTGGAACCTCTCCTGCGTAGGAATTAGGGTGGTGCCTACTCTGAGACACTTCGGGGTTTAAATAAGAGAATCCATATCCAGCCTTGAGCGTAGGGCTGTTCATGTAAACAGCAATAATAATGATGATGATGGTCTCTTTCCCAAATCCTCTGATCAGCATTTAACCTCTCTATTCTTTGACCATAAAAAGAAAAAAAGAAAAAACACTTACTGCCTATACCACCTTTTTACACTTACTATCCAATTTTTTCTATTTTAGATGTTATAGTTTTATCTGCATGAAATTGTAGGTTCCTTGACAGGCAGAGATGAGCAATACAAAACTTTAATTGGATTGAAAATCAACATTTACTTTATGAATTGTGTGGTCTTCATTTATTTATGTTTCCTCAACAGAAAATGAAAGCATTAGTAGAAAGAAGGAGGAGTATTCCATCTCTTCTCCCAGATAAAGCCGTGCAAGAACAGCCTAGAACCAGCACGTAAGTGCAAAGCTTTGTGCTACACATCTGATATGTGCTTGGAACTTTATATTAGATGAAGAGTTTTCAGATCACATTTTTCATGTGTGAGTGTTTTTTGTTTTCCTTTAGCACCAGCATTCTCTGTTTAGTCATAGAAAACATGACTGCTGTCCTGAGGTTATTTAATAAGACCTCTTCTTTGTGGGAATCTTACTACCTTTTAGAACTGGTGCATAAGCTTGGTTTAAAACTGATTCAATAGTGAATCTTACATCACATAGTACACAAATATGCGGGTTTCACATTTTATCAAAGTGTATTTGTAGAAACAATTAGAAATCAGAATACTGAAAAATGAATGTTGTTGTACACAAAATACTGCATATTTTTTATCATAGGGTGATGCCTGTGCATGAATCAGGTCATTTTTCTCACCAGTTTTAGATATAAAGGAAGATAATCAGATTGAGATTATAAAAAATGGAATATTGGTTTCTTTTAGATATTATTGGTTAAATTAGTAAAATTTGAAGTGGGAAAAAAGGCCAAATATGTAATAAAGTGGCCATCTTCACTAATTGTGCCTAATTAGCATTTCAGTGGACATTGTAAGGGTCTTTCATAATGTGTAGAAATTTAATAGATAGTCAATATTAATTTATTCACTCATTTTTAAATGGCATTTTTAACTCATATTTTTTGTGTTCAAATGAATCCTGTGATGACTTTCTTCTAAGTGACTTCCTTCACTTTCTGTGAATCCTTTTATGTAAAGTGAAGTCTTCATCTGTATTTAAAGTGAGGGTATACCTACAACTATGACATTTTTGTGAATGATATGCTAATTTAACATAAAATCTATATGAGGGATGAAAGATTTTTAGTGCCACAATAGATTCTATATTCAAATTCCATTTAATGAAACTTATCAAAATACTTAGGTGACTTTCTTCCCAGTAAGCTCTCAGCAAGTTCTCTCTGATCAATACTCTTTCTGATCTATCCCCAAAAGACATATGCTTTACTCATTGGGTTGAATAGGAAACGTAAACTCCTTTTAATAGGTGCCTAATGAAAATTTAATTAGAAAGATAATTTCTTAGAAGTTTTCATAGAGTGGTTACAGAAATTAAGTACTATATGAAAAATATCAATGAATTAAATAAACTTCATGAAATTTTAAAGCTTTTGTCAAAAACAGTGAGGAAAGTGTACCAGAAAAGTAAGAGACTGGGAGCCAATATTTTCCCAAACACATAACTGACAGAGCACTGTATACTGCCACAATGTGTCCGAGATTCATAAAAAATTCCTATAACACAGTAGATTACATTTGTATAATAACACATAATTAATTTTTATAAAACTAATGAGCAAAAGATTTGAAGACATTTTACCAATGAAAATGCACAAATGGCCAGTAAGAACATGACAGAAATTAGCACTCAGAGAACCACAAGTTAAAATCTTAATGAGAGGCCACTATATGTCCTCTAGACTGGCTAGAACGCAAAAGACTGACAGCAGCAAATGTTTTTAAGGTTGCAGAACAACTGGGACTCTCCAACTGTTTTGCAGCGAATGTAGAATGGCACAACCACTTTGGAAAACTAACTAGTTTTTTTTTTTTTTTTCTAAAATTAAACATACATGTATTCTATGACCAAACAATTCCACTCTGGGATATTTACCCAAGAGAAATGAAAACATAGGTCACACAAAGGCTAGTACAATGTTCAATAACAGTTAAAACTGGAAACATCCCAAGTGTCTATCGGTAAGAGAATAAATAAACTCTGGTATATTTATACATTGAATACTATTCAGTAATATAAAGGAATGGATTATTGATAAATGAATTCCAAAAACATGGTGAGTAAAAGCCATCTTACACAAAAGAGTACATACTTTAGTTCCATTTATATAAAATTCTGGAACAGGAACAACCTTCACCATCACTCAGTCATAAAGATAGTTTCCTATGTGTTCTATTAAAATACTTATGATTTTGGTTCTTACATTTAAGTTGATGATCTATCTCAAATTATTTTTGGCTTACGGTATAAGGTAGAGGCTGAGGTTCATTTTGTTTTTTGAGATGGGAAAACCTTCAGTGGGAAAGAAATCAGAATAGTGGTTTCCTCCAGGGTGTTGGAGTGGGGACTGACTGGTATAAGGAGTGTGAGGGATTTGGGCACTGATCAAGCAAAAAGGAGATGTTGATGGCACAAGGTTGCATGAGAAAAGAAGTCCCTCACCACACGAGACTGTCCAGAGGCTTATGACGTAGAAATCACCATCTAACGGGAAGAGGGCTAGAGAATTCTGGATGAGAGGAGAATCAGAGACAGTGTCTCTGGAGAGTACATGTCCAGGTGATGTTGCTCAGGAGTGAGGAATGTCTGGGTCAGAGAACGGTAAGGGACAGTAGCAGCTTGGGGTCTCATAACCACAAGTTCTCTCTTATCAGTGGCCAGCAGATGCTGGATCTAGTTTTATGGAGTATGCAAAACAGACAGGCTGTTAGTGGCTAAAAATCTTCTTGTGTGGGCTATTTTTCAAATGATTGGGTATGTAAAAATTTGGCACCAGTGAGCTTTTGAACTAACAGACCTCAGCCTTCAATCAAGAAATAACCCAGGGGTCAATCCATAGAAACTATATTTTCCTAATTTAGATAATAACCAGAAGGGAGAATTTTTTTGAGTGATGATAATTTCCTATATCTTGATAGGGGCTTAGGTTACACAGGTGAATACATTTGTCAAAAGTTAGTGAATATGATGGTTTAAAAAGGGCTTTAGGAAAAAAAGGTCAGTGACTATATACCTAGGACTTGTATATTTGTGCATTTTGTGTATAAATTTTATATCAAAAGAAAAATCTAAATATTGAACTCTAGTTAATGATATGCATGCTGAAGTGTTTAGGGGGAATATGTACTGCTGTATGCAGTTTACACTGAAATGCCAAAAACAAAATAGACTGATAAATAGACCCGGTGTGGTGGCCATGCCTGTAACCCTAGACCTTTGGGAGGCCAAGGCAGAAGGATATCTTAAGGCCAGGAGTTCAATACCAGTCTGGTTAGCATAGCAGGACCACATCTCTACAAAAATAATAAATAAATAAATAAAATAGCTGAGTGTGATGGCACATGCTTGTAGTCCCAGCTACTCAGGTGGCTGAAGCAGGAGGATCGCTTGATCCCATGAGTTGGAGGTTACCATGAACTATGACCACATCACTGCACTTCAGCCTGGGTGACACAGCAAGACCCTGTTTCTAAATAAATAAATGAATGAATGAATCAATAAATAGAAGGATAGATAGTTGGATACATATATAATAAAGCAGGCACAGTAAAATATTAATGGTAAAATCTATGTTGAAGTATACATACATGTGTCTATCATAAAACTATTTCAACTTTGCTTTTTGTTTCAAAATTTTCATAATGAGGTGTTGAAGACTGCTGTGTGGAGAATACACTGGGGAAGACACTGCCATTGTATTAAAAAGTTACAGAGTTTTATATTTATTGACCAACTTTAAGCTATAATTTTATAAAAACTTGGTCCTATATTTGATCATTTGACTGATGATCTGTGGAACTTGATCATCCTATTACAGGGAAAGACCTTCTGCTGCCATGAAAACCTGTGCATTTTTGACGGCATTTGCCTGCTCCAGTAGGACTCTGCTGATTGACGGCCTGGTGGAGCTCAGAACAGGCGTGCAGAGGCAGGAGCGCCATATTTTTTTATTCGATGATATGCTTGTTGTGGCCAAAAGCAAGTAAGTGGACTGCACACTTTCCCCTGGTTATCATTATAAAATTCATTTCTACTAAAAAAAATACTGTTTCTACTCAGTGATTATTGTAAGAATGCCTGGCCTCTGTTACTATACCTAATATGTGAAGTGAGTATTTTGTTTGTTTCTTTTTGTTGAAAAATAAAGTTTCCATTTTTTATTCATACAACAAATGTCCATTTAGGGTTAGGTCTCGTGCCATGCCCTGAATAAATGTGGAAATGTAATGAAGGATGTGATGGGTATAGTCCCTGCTCTTTGGTAGCTTACATTCTAATATGGGAGCTTACCTTCGTGTGTAGGGAGGAAAAGGACAGATTGTGATTAGTGCTGTGAAGAAAATGGGGTGGTGGGTGAAGTAGAAGATGGGGTATATGTTAGGTAGGTGTAGTCAGGGGGAAAAATCATTGAAGGATAAAAAGCAACCAGCCATTTAGATAAATATTGGGACCATGTGCGTTCTCGGTAGAGGGAACAGGTACAAAGGTGGTGGGGAAGCTTGGCCCTTAGAGGAGTTCAAGGAAGGCCTGTGTAACTGGGGCCTAATGAGCAAAGGAAAGTGATAGGAATTATGATTGGTGATGTAGACAAAGGTTAGTCGTCAGGACCTTGTAGACTGTATTAATTATCTATTGCTGTGCAACAAATTACTCCAACACATAACAGCTTAAAACTGTAAACATCTACATTTTCTCTGAATGAGGAATCTGGGAGTGTTTCACTGGGTGGTTCTGGCTCAGGAGCCTTCATGAGGGCTCTGTAGCTTGTTGGGCAGGGTACCAGTTATCTCAGGGCTCAAGTACAACCCAAGAAACCACTTCCAAGCTCACTCCTATGGGTGCTGGCAGCTGTAGTTCCTCATGGCTGTTCTCCAAAGGCTTCCTCTCCACGAGGGTCTCTCCACAGGACTACTCATAATGGCAGTTGCTTCTTTTGAAGTGAAAGATCCCAACAGAGTCAGAGAGAATAGGCCATTGAAATAGCACCCAAAATAGAAACCACAATATATATTTTGGAAGTAGTGTGCCATCATTTCTGACATATGTGATTGGCCACATAGGGGAACCTTGGCACAGCATGGAAGGGAACTACGCACTATATGAATATCAGGAACTAAGGATCATGGGGACAATCTTGGAGGCTTAGTACCACAAAGGCTATCATAAAGACTTTGGATTTTATTCTGAAGGGTTTTAATTGGAGGAGTGGTAGAGTGTGATTCTTTTTTTAAAAAAATACAATTCTGGCTCATGCTAGTTAGATAGTACATTGGAAGGCAGGCAAGAGAGGAAGCAAGGAGACTAGATAGTAAGTTATTAGTCGTCCTGATGGAGATAAACGAGGGCTCTATCTGAGGAAATGACAGGTAAGAGGAAGATACAGACATGTCTGGAACATACCTTAGAGGTACCCAAGAGGATTCACTTTCTGCTCAACACTAAATCCAGTGCACTTAATACTCAGCCTAGAACATGGTGGCTGCTACTGTCTGTTTCCCATTGTCCTTATGTATGAAACATCAGGAAAGATAAAAGTATTTTAACAAATCCAATCTCATGAAGGAGATTTTTTTTTTTTTTTATAACATGTTAAGAGCTGTAATCATGAAGGAGATTTTTAGTCACTAGAAAAAACACTTTTTTCTCTTACCTGCACTCACACACCTAAGTTACTCAGTGCTATAAATGAGACATGGGCAAGGGTAAATAATTTTCCAAAACACTATATTTGATCTGAGTGCTATTAATAACAAAAGAAACTAAGTGTTTATTGGGATGTTATTGTATTTTAGGTATTCTTCTAAAACTTTAACCCTTAAAACTATTCTATGAGGTGGGTACTTATTTTCCTCATTTTAGAAAAGAAATTGATATTCTCATTACTGCACGTGTCTAGTCTAAAAAAAAAAGAAAATCATATTGAGAGAAATTAAGTGTCTTCCTCAAGGTCACAGAGTAATTAGTTGAAGCTACCATTGAACCTAGATTTATCTTATTACAAAGTCCATTCTTTTAACCAATATGTGGTCTGCTGCCTGTATTACTTAACTCTTTTATAATGGATTTCATAGAAGTGTCTTCAACCATATATATTTTTTTTACCATTAAATGAGTATTTTCTTTGTGATGAGTAGAAGGTTCCAACTAAATAGTGATTTAGGAAGAAATGGTATAGAAGGCTTAGTGAACTTTTCAAGTTAAAGGCAACATAAAGATAATGAAACAGTTTCAGAATATTTTCAATAGAAGTGATATCTACAAATGTAGTTTTGGATGTGGATATGATGTTTTGAGTAATACAGTGAAAGAAAAGTGTTTTTTGTTTGTTTGTTTACTCTTTTTTGTTTATATTTTTGGTCTAAACCTTTGCACTCGAACAAGTCCACATGAAGATCTAAGTAGGGAAGATGTTACCAGATGCACAAATCATTATTTTTTTAAAAAAATTTGTTCATTTAAAAATTATTTTATGGGTTATATTATGTATGCTAGGTATTAGGAGAATCACAAAGGTCTCATTTAATTTTCCTAGCAAACTCCTCCCCTCCCCCACCAAGGTAAGAGTTGTTTTAGATGTTGAACACTGAGACTCAGGGAGGTTTGCCATAGACTAGGAAATGGCAGAGCTGGGGTTTGAATATAGATGTTAATTCCAAAGGCTGGCTCTTTCTGTCTTCCTTACCACATTGTACTCATTAGGTGCAAAGCTTAGCCTGGAGGTAGATATGCAGATAACAACCAATTTCCTGAACTTTAGGACCTTAAGGGTACTTACTTGTAACATGCATTCAACTCTTAGGGAAGAAGGTATTTTCCTTCTTTTTGGATTTTTTTTTCCTTAGCAGTTATGGTAATATTTAGAGAACCTTTGTTTTTTCGCCTTAAATTATTTATTGTTCCATATTCTGTTCACATCTAAGTGATTTTTATGTAACCTATATTTTGCTAAAAACATTTTATATAAAGACAATTGTATTACCATTAGAAAATTGCAATAGGAAGCAAGGAGACTAGATAGTAAGTTATTAGTCGTCCTGATGGAGATAACGAGGGCTCTAGCTGAGGAAATGACAGGTAAGAGGAGATACAGACATTGCTGTTTTTTAGATATATTGGCAAAATTTGTGCCCATTGTCTACTTTTATAGCTTTTTATTTTAATTGTCCCTTATACAGGGTTACACCATTTTTCCCCACATAACTGTGTTGGAAACTCTAATAACTCTAATAAGTTAGAGTTAACTCTAACATAACTCTAATGTTTTTATGAAATGACAACATTTATATCAATTGATATAAATGCTGTTATTTTATGAGATTCAATTCTTGGAAGATTATTTTAAATACTTTGTACATCCATTGAAGATATTTAAAAGTTTGGGTGATCTATGTTATTTTTTATGTTTTTGGCATAAACCCAGGATCCTTAAGATAGAAAGAAAGGAAGGTAGATATTTGAAGAGATGATGATGATTAAATCCTGCCACCTTACAACAATTTAGACAATTTTTTAGGAATGTATTACATGATCATTCTCATAGCAAACATTTAGATAATTCACAGATCCTTATTAATATGAAAGAACTTAATTTTTTTCCCAATATAAACAGCAACCAAAATGAAATAGCTTCTTGAAATAGCAAACCTGTGTCACTAGTTACTCCTGAATAAAGAATCAAGTGGTACCTAGATCAATTAATTTGTTGAAATACTCTGAGACCAGTGCTTGGTCTTCGTATTTAGCCATGGAAAAACGGGGAGACATCAGTTCCATATTATGTCAGCTCATCTTTAGGGTTCATTTGGAAACTGCTTTCAGTCCTTGCGTTAGGCCTACACAAGTAAACTGAAGTGGGATAAATAATTGACAAGCTGTCACATATTTATTCAGTCAAATTAAGGGAATTTTAGTAAGAGCAATAATAGAAAGAGTGTTAAATGTACTCTTTTATTGGCTAAAGTATTATATTTGCTCTGTTTTGTGCTGGATGTTGACAGTGTTAGCTGAAAATTGTTTTGAATTTATGGTTATTCTTTTCCATACTAACATAGGAAAATATTAAAGCTGGATAGGGCCTTGGGAACAACTTTTATATTCATTAAGAAGATAAGTTATTTTTCTAATAAAATTATGGCTTTCATTTATAAAAATAAGATATCTTTTTACAAGCATTACATTATTTAGAAAGAAGTTAGTAGCTGATAGGGCACCTATATGGAATTTACAAAAAGGAAATAACTGTGCTTACCTAACAACCTCCTAAGATATCACTGTTTTCATCTTTTATGAGAATAAGCAATTAGTAAATAATACTGAGTTCTTTAAGGTGAAAAAGATGAAATTAAATAAGCTCATTTACAATAGAATTGCCATTAGATACTCATGGAATATATAATGATCTCTACCCAAAAACATATTTAATATGACATCTCTATCTCAGAATGGGAAAAAAGTCTCCCTAGAATCCTGTGTATTTCAATAATTTACTGGAATTCCTTCCAGTATGAAGATAGGAGAATAGGAAAGGAAACTATATCTGTCACGTTAATAAATTTGTACTAAGGGACTACATTGTATAAATAAAGAATTTATTTTTAAGGTTTAAAAATTTTTTTTAGTCAGTTCATATTAGCTTTATACTTTTTAATTTCTGTTGGTCTAATATTATTAGAAATAGTCATTCCACTGGAGCCAGTTCACATTAGATTTTTTTAAAAAAAATTTCTATATTATAATACTATAGGAGATTGAGAGTGAAAAATCTGAAGAAGTACACTGTGATCCCAGGGTGGTACATTTCAACATACAACTTTTTGGAATACTTGTTTTTACATATTTTCAAGCCTATCCTAGTTTTATATATATAAATGGTCATAATTTTTATCCTTTAACCTCCACTATAAACAAATAGCCCCATGAGAAAGCCTTGTAGCTCTGGAGAGATTTAAGAAAAAGTAGGCCAAAGAGAAAAGCCGAAGGGAACTTCATGGAAAGATACTTTCATCAAGATGCTTCATTAGAATGGCAATATCCAAGGCTTTTTATGGATGCACAGTGGCTATGAGCACAAATAAGCTCAGGAGCCACCACTGCCCAAGGTCAGAGTCTAGCTCTGCCTCTTAAGCTGTTTGACTTTTGGCAAGTTAATCCCTCTGTGACTCCGTTTCCTCATTTATAAAATGTTTGAGTTTTAAAGTAAATAATATGTGTTAAGTATTTACAACAATGACTGGTACATGGTAAATTCTCAATAAATATTAGCTATTACTTTTAGTATAGGGAATTGGAAGTCATTGTTCATACCTGTAGACAATTCCTTGCTTTGGGCATCTGGGGTGGCACTTTATTGATCTAGGAAAGGATCTTTGGGATGACCTTTTTTTCCAGGCCAGTATATGGGGATGTGTCCACATGGTATCTGAAGTATCCAATGTAGGTAGAGATCTGCATTAGAAAACACAAAGTATATGAAAACAAACATACTTTTCCTTCCAAAAGATTTTTAGTCCTGACCGGGTGCAGTGGCTCACCCCTGTAATCCTAGCACTCTGGGAGGCTGAGGCGGGCGGATTGCTCAAGGTCAGGAGTTCGAAACCAGCCTGAGCAAGAGCCAGACCCCATCTCTACTATAAATAGAAAGAAATTAATTGGCCAACTAATATATATAGAAAAAATTATCCGAGCATGGTGGCGCATGCCTGTAGTCTCAGCTACTTGGGAGGCTGAGGCAGCAGGATTGCTTGAGCCCAGGAATTTGAGGTTGTTGTGAGCTAGGCTGACATCATGGCATTCACTCTAGCCTGGGCAACAAAGTGAGACTCTGTCTCAAAAAAAAAAAAAAGACTTTTAGTCTTAGTTTTATATTACCTAAATAATTGGCATGACAAAATAAGATTCAGTCTGTAATTGAATCTGTTTCATAAAAAAATCTAATGATTTTTAGCAATAGGGTAAAAAAAATTGAAATAAAATACAGAAAGAAGCCATTTTGCCACAAGGCACTTTTCTATTACACTTAAATTCAGTGCGCCCCGTGAGAAGCATAGATGAGTCTTTGAATCTAGGTTGTCCTTCATGCGTATTTCTTGTAATTTCTTTTTCATCTTATAAATCCTACTTAAGAGTTTTAGCCTTACTATTCCATGAATAAGAGGAGTTTTAGGGATGCATGAGGTATCTTTGATTTTATTTTAGCTTTTCCACTAATGGTTCTGAACGGTAGAAATGACCCAAGTTTTTCTGGGCATTCTCTCTATCCTACTCAGTTTCTTCCATTTAAATCTCAGCTCCATCTGAACAATAAATCTGTCAGTTAGCTCAAGAGATATGATGGATTAAGAGATATGATAGAACCCATACCAGGGTTCTAAGGGATAGTAGGAAGAAATTGTCAAAAAGGAACTTTACTGCTGACTAAAAGCAGATCACCTCTGGGTCCCCAGTGATAAACATTAATTGTGTCAACCCTACTCTCTTTTAGGTTTTTTTTAGGCTACGGTTCTTTGGTTTTAGCCAGAATATAAGGGAAAATGGTTGAACAGAATCTTAGGAAAGGAAATTTAAAATAATCTATGCTTCTAAAGACTAGAAAATCTCATAACCACTCAGTTGAAAATGTATTATAAATTCCTCTAGTTTATTCCAGGTTTTTTCAGTGCATCTCTCTTAAAATGGAAATTTTATAAACATCTTAATATTCCTGGAAGTTCTCACCCCCCCACCAGCTGTTCCAGTAGAGCCCCTTTAAAACTCACTCATCAAACCAACGTAAATGACTTCAAGAATTCCCAATAGTTACTATCCTGTATACTTTTTGTATACTATCCTGTATACTTTTTGTGTTCAGCCACTCCAGTCTTTTTGTAAATAAGCAAATTATAAATAATAAATGAATTAATTTTTTATAACAGCAATAGATTTAAAAGTAGGCTTTTGATCCAAATGCAACGCTTAATGTATAGAAAAGTAAAATGGCAGTTTATGGCTATTTACTGCCATACATGCAGACATGAGGAATAAATGCTTTACCAGATGTCTTAAAGGCTTTCTTGGTTCAAGGTAGCCTACTATGTTGTAATTCACTGTGTCACTGAAGATAGAAACAATGAATAAGATGTTTATCACAAGTACAGAATCTCCCATACAATTTAAGAAACAAAATAACAAGAGGTCCTTTTTGATTTTTATCTTTCTAGGCATAAGAATAACTTGAAGATGAAATACAAGATTAAATTATCTGACATGTGGACAGCAAGCTGTGTCAATGAAGTGGGAGATGGCAAGGGCAGTGCTATGAAATCCTTTGTCTTGGGCTGGCCCACTCAGAACTTTGTGGCCACTTTCAGGTAAGAATGACAGCTTGTCCTGTATTTACCTTGTTTAGCTACTATGGTAATTTCTGGGATAAGAGAAAAAATTTAAGTAATTTTTTCCCCCAAATTATTAGAAGGTAAATATTTTATTCTGATTGTTTCTGAAGTCAGCAACTCATCTTTGGACACATATACCCAACCAAGATGCTTGTGTGCCTTATGTTTCTCCCAAAGAGCTTTTTATTAAAACCTGTGAAAATTAATAGTAACTATTGGGAATTCTTGAAGTCATTTACATTGGTTTGATGAGTGAGTTTTAAAGAGGCTCTACTGGAACAGCTGGTGTGGGGGGGTGAGAACTTCCAGGAATATGGAAGGAGAATAGACTGGTGGTCAGATCTTTAGGACTCCCTCTCCAATATCCCTTTTCCTAATGTCTAGGGACTTATTTGTTTTACATATTGAGCTTTCAAATCTTATCAACCTTTTCAAACTACTGAAATGACCTTACTGAAGCAAATTTTATAAAATAGTCCAAATAAGTTTGGATAAGTGGTTTATACTCCAAAGTTTTCTAAACGAGTAGTTTATCCTCATACAAATAAAACTAATGTCCTGCAATACTGGGTTGCTTGAATTGTGTGTCAGGTTTTGGTTTAGTATCTATAGAGATATGACAATCAAGAGCAAACAATATTTTAAGGAATACATTTTGATTTCCAAGAGTTACTTGTAGGTAAGGATGGGGTTGGAGAATGTATGAATAAAGAATTTTTGTCCTCTTATGCTGAACATGCTTAATTGGCACTTTACAGTTCAGGGAATGCATACCAAACTTATACCTGTGCTTTTGAAGAACTGTGCTCCAACTCCAGTATTAGTTTTATTCTTAAAGATTTAGTGTCCATTACATGCACATGATGCTTTTCATTCTGCTTCTCTTTCTACCACCACCAAACTCCTCAGGCATCATCCTAAAGCCGGTTAACTAAAATTTTCCAAGCTGTTAATCTCTATTAAAAGATAGGCATACCATTAAATTCTACTATGCATTATTGGCTGACCACAGATTTTAAGACTTATTTGGAAGGAACATGGCTTTATATCTTTCTCTGTATGTCTTCTTTTCCATGACAGATTTCTGTAGGTATTATCATTTCTTATTGCTTAATCTCCTTAGAGTTACAGGTGAAGGAAAATGATTTCAAGTGAGGGGGGTAACTACATGATGTTTTTAATCAAAGAATTTCCAAGAAGCTTCTTTATAAGAATAGGGCAAAATGTGAAAACAACTTGTGTGTGTGTGTGTGTGTGTGTGTGTAATAGTGTATTGCTCAAACTATGGTTCTCTAACCAAGTGAACAAGGTTAATATTAGCAGGGATGTCATGTGGATATTATGTACTCCTTTATATAACATGATGATAAGAGCAGTTCTACTCTGTGGTCTTTTTCCCTAAAAACCCTGTAATTCCTGTCTAATCATGAGAAAAACTTCCAATTCACACAAAATGAGAGACATTGTACAGGATACTGGACCAGAACTCCTCAAAGCTCTCAAAGCCAAGAAACAAAAACAAGGAAAGACTGAGAAACTGTTAGAGATCCATTAGTAAGGAGACAAGATAATTCAATATAGTGCGGTATTCTGGATTGGCTCCTTGAACAGGAAAAGGCTTTTAATGGAAAAATCAGAGATATCTGAATAAAGTCAAGAGCTTAGTTAGTAATGTACCAGTTTTGATTTCTTAGTTTTAACAGGTAGAGCATGATATGTAAAAGGATAACATTACAAGAAATTAAACTGGGGGACAAGTATACAAGGGGTGTCTGTATTATCTTTGTAAGTTTTCTGGAAATCTAAAATTATTTCAAAATTAAGTTTGTTTTTTTTTAAAAAGTAAAGTATTGAGTTCTGCCTCTCCTCTGGTATGGCAGAGTAGAGTCTTAACAGATTGACCACCCTACAAATAACAACTGTAAACTCCAAAATCTACCTGAGGGTTATGGAGAATGAACAAAAGTTGGCAGACTTTGAATAGGAGTTAAAACTTGGAAGAAGGCACCAGCAGTGGGTGAGTTTCCTGGTTTTAGGGCTTCCCTATGAGGGCAAGAGGCAATCACATCATGGTGTAGGGCAACTCAAACTGACACAAATTCTTAATCTTTCTGGGCTGAAGAACCAGAGTACATAGTCTGAGTCAACCACAGCTATGTACAACATGAGGTGGAAAATCTCATAAAAGAACATGTCAGAGAAGAGAAGCTATAAATTCTGTATATAGACACTGCCCAAGTCTCTGCTACACCCTCACATGCTTAGGATAGACTTGCAGCTTAAAGCTAAGACCAAAAGAATTATACTGAACTGCTGCCCACCAGAGATGGATTGTATTTTGTAGCTTGAGCTAATAAAGTTAGTTGCTTGCTAAAGCAAAAAACATCAACACTCTTGGAAATATAACAAAATATAGTCTCCAAAACCAAAATTTGTAATGTCCAGAGTATAATCTAAAATTTCCTGACATCTGAAGAACAAGGAAAGAAAAAAGGTAAATCAATAGTGACCTATCCTGAGATGACCTATATGTAAAATTACTAGAAAAGATGTTTAAAGCTGTTTTCATAAAATGAAAATCCAATTGAAATTAATGGAAAGATAGGAAATATCAGCAAAGAAGTAGAAAATATTTTAAAATGGCCAGATAGAAATTCTAGAACTGAAAACTACAGTGTCTTAAAAAAAAGATATTGGTCTTTCTTGCAGAATGGAAGTGAAACAGTAGCCAGTAAATTTGAAGATACATCAATACAAATTTTCTAATCTGATGAAGAGAGGAAACAAAGTTTTTTTTTAAATGAGAAATGCATCAGGGACTTGTGGGAAAATATCAAAATGTATGCCATACATGTAATTGGACTCTCAGAAAAAAGAAAGATGAAAAGGGGAAGAAGAAATATTTGTGGTTATAATGTATATAAAAACCTCTCAAATTTGGTGAAAGACATAAATGTACAGATTGGAATAAGCTCAGATAACCCCAGACAGGATGAGATGGAAAAAATTGTACCTAGTCATGTTATAGATAATTATTATACATCAAAGATAAGAGAAAAATCTTAAAAGCAGACAGAGAAGAACAATGCGTTATAAATAAGAGAATGATGATTTGAATTATTGCAGATTTTCATTGCAAAATTTGAAGGTCAGGAGACAGTGGAGCATCTTTAAAGTGTTGAAAGCAACAACTTTCAATATAGAATACAATAACCAGCAAAAACATTCCTAAAAAATGAAGGTGAAATAGATTAAAAAACAAAACTAAGAATTTACTGCCAACACACCTATTCTACAAAGAAAATGTTAACAGAAGTTGCTCAGGAGAAAGTGAAATGATATCAGAAGGAAGCTCAGATCTTTGGAAGGGATGAAGACCATTGAAAATGGTGTGTTATATCTTGGTAAATTTCAGGGAACTCTAGGTCATGCGTGATCAGTTTAAAATGCCATCAGGCTAGCAGCTTAAGAAACAATCTCTCCTACCCAGTTACTATAATAGTTACTTTAAAAAACCCAAAAAAGGGCGGCTGCCGCCATTTTAGCGTTTTGTCAGAAGTGTCCACGCGGCAAGGAGGAGCCCCTGCTGATTTCCGTGCGGGCTCTTGTCAAAATGGTGAAGCTGTTTATTGGAAACCTGCCTCAGGAGGCCACAGAACAGGAGATCCGCTCACTCTTCGAGCAGTATGGGAAGGTGCTGGAATGTGACATCATTAAGAACTATGGCTTTGTGCACATAGAAGACAAAACTGCAGCTGATGATGCCATATGCAACCTGTACCACTACAAGCTTCATGGGGTGAACATCAACGTGGAAGCCAGCAAGAATAAGAGCAAAACCTCAACAAAGTTGCATGTGGGCAACATCAGTCCCACCTGCACCAACAAGGAGCTTCGGGCCAAGTTTGAGGAGTATGGTCCAGTCATTGAATGTGACATCGTCAAAGATTATGCCTTCGTACACATGGAGCGGGCAGAGGGTGCAGTGGAGGCCATGAGGGGCCTTGATAACACAGAGTTTCAAGGTGGGATGTGTGTAGGCTGAAATTCAGAGCTGCGGTTGTGCATGAGAATACACCCTTCGTGGTACCCCATCTCCGGGACGTTTTCGGCTCTGTGCATTCAGTCCCTCAGGAACCATGGACCTTAATTTACCTTGCTGAGTTCGGACCTTCTCTTCCTTTCCTTTACTGCCCATTTTCCTATTCTTCCTATCCTTCAGTACTTCTGTAGCCTCCCATTCATGTTCTATTCTCCCAGCAGGCCTCATTGTGTGCAGAAATTGTGGTAGGGGCTGAGCTACCTCCTCCCTGCTTCCTGCCTCCAGTGGGTTTTGGATTTGGGGATGACCTTGGTGAGAGTCTCACTGCTTCCGGGTCTCTTTTTGGCCCAAAGGCTAGACCTATATAGAGTTGAATCACTTTTTTCTTTCCAGTGAAATAAATGGTTTTTCAACTTAGAAAAAAAAAAAACCCAAAAAAGTAAAAAGCTAATAAATTTGAAATCTAAGGCTGACAACTACCATACTGAAGAACCGCCAATTGAGTCAAATTGGGGAGAGAGCAAGCAATCGATGTGAACTTTCCATGTTTCACTCCAGGAAACAGGTCAGATAGTCATATCTCAGAAAAGGCCAAAAGGAATTCCATATCTCTGTCACTACATGTACTCTGATTTACAAACCTGGCTTTTTTTTTTTTTTTTTTTTTTTTGAGACAGTCTCACTCTGTCACTCAGGCTAGAGTGCCATGGTGTCAGCCTAGCTCAAAGCAACCTCAAACTCCTGGGCTCAAGTGATCCTCATGCCTCATCCTCCTGAGTAGCTGGGACTACAGGCACATGCCACTACACCCAGTTAAATTTTTCTATTTTTAGTAGAGGCAGGATCTCACTTTTGTTCAAGTTGATCTCCAACTCCTGAGCTCAAGTGATCCTCTAGCATCGACCTCCCAGAGTGTTAGGATTACAGGTGTGAGCCACTGGGCCCTAACCCATAAACCTAGGATTTATATGCATGAGAACAATTAAGTGTTACAATTTGATTTTACAGATAACTGTATGATACAATGGGAACATTTTTCAAAACATACAGGGAGTACTTCAATCTGATGATGGTCTATCTACAAGAGTAATTAGAAGAATACTATTTTAACTTATGTACCTACTGTGAGTCTTAAGTTACAAACTCAGGTGTGCCTGTTTATTTAGAGATCAAATTCATACTCCCCTTAAGCCTCCATTTTTCCAGGCATCAGATGTTCTTTACTGGAACTCTGTTTCCTTAAGGGAGTATCAGAATACAAGAGACTTTTGCGATGCCTCACTGCTGACATCATCTTTTTGTATGCCCATAGTTGTTTTTGTAACTCCAGAGATGCTCTGTTTTCTTGCCACATGCGGAAGGAAGATGTTCTTCCTTCCTTGCTGATTATAAACACCTTGGTGCCTGGTACCCAGGCTCTCTAGTTGCTCCTTAAACCCATTTCCTCTGAGTTCTTTGTTTCCTTAGGACACCTTAACTGAGTGACATGATTTCCAGCTCACTCTCAAAGATAACAAACTTCTATGCCCTCCATAATTTGAATCTTCCAATGTGCCATGCCCTTTTTCTTTTTTTAATATACACTGCTTTCTCCTCTCCTGAGTATTAATAGTATGTTTTTAATGGGTTTAAGTGTTTATAAAACTCAGAGATAACCATTGACTTTGGAGCACTTCTGTTTTATTCCTGTAAACATGCCTGAGATTAATAACTACTAAAGAAATGGAGCCCTAGATTCTAGTATAGAGCAGGGGAAGGGGCAAATATAAAAAGATTACACAGATCAATCTCTATAAATTAACCTGACACATTTCATAATTTATTTTTTAAAGTAATATGTACTATATATTTAAACAACAGAACACCATACAGCAATAAGAGTGAAGGATCTAAAACTACATGTGGTGATATTGATAAATTTAACAAACATCATGTTAAATGAAAGAAGCCACACTCAAAATAGTATATACTGTATGTTACATTTACAGAAAGTACCCAAACAAGCAAAACAATTCTGTGCTCTTGGAAGTTAGGGTAGTGGGGACTATTGGCTGAAATGACCATCAGGTGACCTTCTAAGGTGATTACCTGTTTTATAATCTGGGTGGTGGTCATGCAGGTCTGCTCAATTTGTGAAAATTCTTTGAGCGATATAGTACAGCTTTGCGCAGTTTTCTCTATACAACTTATTTGTCAATTACTAAGAGTCCTAAAGGGGTAGTTTTCTTTAACTGCTTTGAAAAAGTTAATGGGTCTGAAGAAAATGTCTCATCTAATTTCCACACAGGTTTTTGCTGAATAAATCCAAGATTTGACATAAACCTATAAAATTTGAACCTAAAAAATCTTTTTTAGAAAACATAGTAAGAAATGAAAGATGGAAGTTCCATGGTTAGTGGTAAAAAAGATGTAACATGTTTTCTGATGGCCAATCCTGAGAGATTGTTGATGGAGAAAATTGCTAAGCAACAAAGTCAGAAAGAAATTCCAAATATTTATGAAGTGTATTTTGTTGGAAAAAGACAATAACTAGGGTTTCCAGTTTCTTTAAAGAGATTAGAAATATGGTTTTAAAAACTTGTAAGTGACAAGATCATATAGGAATATAGTTAATTTTATTTCTAATTTTTAAGAATTAAATGCAGCTGTGACATCAGCAAAAAAATATTAATCAATAGTAATTTTGTTTCAAATGGATTGATCTTAATCAGGTTATAGTAATTGAGAATAAGATGTCTACAAACTCATTTACTAAATAATAATTCTGGTGTATTTATTTTAAAAAAATGTTTCTTTCCCTGACAAGAGTCTGGTTTCTGGGCCAAGATATTTTATCCATATGCCAACTTTCTCCTTAATCTGTTTAATCTCAATAGTAATCAGACTTTCTATTTGTATGGCCTTTTATGCTATAAAAACACTCTGAGTGAGATAAATAACCCAGTTTTACAGATGTGGAAAAACCAGGTGTTGAATTCCAAATCAAGTACTCTTTCCACTATAAGAGCTACCACGTACTGGTATAATACCACTTGTAGAAAAGCAGTTGAGTAGAAAAGGAGGTCTGTCTTGGATACATCCAAGGAAGTTTAATAAAACTACACCTACCTCTGTAATTTTTCCAAAAGGGCATTTTCACTATGGGGTTCTCCAGAACAAAATTATGTTGAGGTTACATCTTACATGTGCAACTACATCAATAACAACAGGCTGTTCATGTTTTCATCTCGATTGACAATTTTAAATATGTTAGCATAAGTAGTGTATGTGATTTCTGTCTTCCATTTTCTTTCATTGCAGTTCTCCGGAACTAAAGGACACATGGCTTACACTCCTTCAGAGGTATTTTTTTCAGTATATGTACTTTTAATCTTTAACCAGCAATGGATGAATTAAAACCTTTTCTGGCACTGTCTGGGGGATAGACATGCTTGAAGCTCTGACTTGGGTGGGGCAAAGACAATATACATAACGTAAACATTTGTACCCCCATAATATACTGAAATTAAAAAAAATTTTTTAAATAAAAAACAATTTCTGCAGAGGTGTATCCCAAGTTATTTTTCTCTCCTTAGTAGAAATTGTTCATTTGTCCTGAAAATAAGCTGCTGTTTAGATTGTTCACTAGCTGCTATTTGCTATAAATAATGTTCTTTCATTACATGTAGTTCTTACTTTCTAGGAAGGAGAGCACTGAGGTCTAGTTAGATCATTTTATGCAGAAATTAGTCAATAATATCTTCCATCTCTTTCTGTTGTCTCCAGTTTACCAACAGGAGCTAACAGTTTCATCACAGTATGTGTTAAGTTTCCATAAATGCAGGGTTTTCTGCTGAGCACCTCAGAAATCAGTTATTGACCCCACCATTGAGCATACAGAGTAAAATGATAGACTTAGCATTGTTTACTAGACCCATTGTTCTTCCCCCCTTCCTGTGCTCTCCGCCTTCCCAAGCTATGAGATATCCAAGATTTACACTGTACTGGAGAGCTAGATGAGAAAAGGTCATTTCTTTGGTTTCTCCTTGTAAAGTGTTTTATATGCTCCTGTTCCCATCAGCAAGGTGCTGGACATGTCCAGAGAAGGCAGGGCAGTGTTAAGGATAAAACATTACCCAGAGGTGCTTTAACCTGCCTGTGCTCCTCAATCCTTACTTGACATGGAAGTCCCATTCTTTTTTGTGCCCATGCCTAATGTCCTGCCATGTTTTTTAAATTCCCTTCCAACCCATAGTGTACTCTGACTTTGCTGAGTCTTCTCATCTGTCTTTAAAAACAGCATATAAGTACGTTGAAAATATTGGCAAAAGAGATTGATTTTAAAAATAAGCCATCAGCAAATTCCATCTGACTCAGTGTTTGCATTTGATTAGACACATCGATCTCGAGAAACAGAAGGACCACCCGAAGAGCATTCCCCTCAGAATCTTTATCGAGGACATGGGGAATTGTGTACATGTAAGTGTTTGTAAGCAAGAAAATTAAATTCCAAGTCCCTGCATTAAAGCAGAATACCATGGTAAAAAGAGAGACTGACAGGCAGACAGACTGTGTCTGTGCTGTGCAAGGTAGGCATTTAGAAATGCCATGGGGGAAAGTGCATTTTCCTAGGAATATCTATGTCTTTGTATATATGAAAAGTAAACCCTAGAGAAAATGAAGAAAGAGAAATTCACATTAACTATAATATTTGACATTTATGCTTGGCAAGAGCACTGCTTATCAGATGTTTCTTTTCTCTCTCTGGCATGAATGTTTCTCTGAGTCTTTTTAGTAGCAGCTGCAGAGACTTGTAGTAAAGCTGTTTCCACAAAGAGGTATTTTCAATTATTATTAAGCATTTTTTTCCAAGTTGTCACTACTTAGGGAAAAAGTGGTTTTGAAAAGTTTATAGTTTGAGATTTTATGGATTGAATTTCTCAAGCTAGTCAATGGATGATCTGGGAAGGTTGACATTTTTAAGGGATCAGCATTTTTCTGCCTCATAGTTTTATCACATTGGTCATATAAACATTAAACCCAATTTATTAGGTATGATTGGCTGGATGACTCATAGCACAAGAGCCAATATGTTATTGATGGTGAATAAGATGGAACCTTATGGATATTGTTGTGACACTATGGACTGTCATACTTCACAGCAGCTCTGCATCACACAGAATAGTTTTGTTTGTGGAAAAATATATAGTGCAAAATCGTTATGTTTTGACCAAAAGCAGAAATTATGGAAATATTCTGACAAACACCTGGATGCCAGATAATCACTGCTTGAGGGAAATATTCAAATTTTGAAACAAGAGAGAGCTTTTGTAGCAAAGTAGGAGAAAACAAAATGAAACGTTGTTTCTGCCTGCTTTGATTCAGTTGTTGTGGCAGTTGGTTACATTTAGGATTTTCATGGAAAACTCTCTGAACTTTTTTAAACACTTTCTTAATGTATGGAAAGTGTGTGTGCTTGAGAAAGGACTGATGTCCCACTCTCATTTTGGAAAAGATAAAAGATGTGGTCAGGTTGGGTGCTCTGTTTTGATCATTAGTACCCTGAGTAAGTCAAGGATGATATGATACACTCTGTCCTTTGCTCTCTGAAGCAGATTTCGTGGCTAGAGTCTCTTTCCAGGAGCCCTGCTTCCAGAGTTAATCCCCCAAATAAGAGTGCAAGTATGGGAAGTATTATCTTTGTCCTTCAGTTCTGCACAACCTGTCAGTGAATTCTGCTAATATGCAACAAAATAGCCACATGTTCAGTTTTGTCTATTTATTTTGTTATTTATTAGCCAAAAAGCATTATCTGCTGAAATTCATTCGTTTTGTCTACCAGAAAGGCATGCAGGAAAAATACACTTGATATAATTACAAATTTGAACATATGTGCCCAGTACTAAAAAATTATGTTAGAAACTAGGTAATTGGAAGAATAGATTCTTTACTTTACAAAAGATTCATGAGAGTGTTTCTTTAAATGCAAGTGTTTTTAAACTTAAAAAAAAATGGTGAAACACTTACTGAAATTAAGTCTTAAGTTAAAGCCTAGTATGTAACATATCTCTGACACTCTGGTAGAAGACAGACACGGGGTTGGGTGCTCCAAACCCTCCCTTGTTGGCTTCTGAGACAATTTTGCATAATCTCTGTGGCTGTAAGGAGTACAATTTGAAATTAATGCATTTAGAATACTTTTTTAAAAAGTAAAATTCATTTAATAAACCACTTTTAGGGGCAATTTGTCATGTCAAGTAATTGTCTCATAGAGAAGAAATACTATTCATGGAAGAATAAGTGATAAATTATCAGTGTATTTAACTTAGCTTTATTTTTATATTTTTAAAAATATCATTCTTTCCATTTCTGCTACTTATTTGTGCATTTTAAGCCCTAACAAGGACATAGCCCTGATAACTGAATTCTTATAATTATCATATATAAAATATATATATATAGCAAAAATATTTTTTTTGATAACATAACATTGTTTTATATTTAAATAATATCCTTTGGAATTCAGCAACCTATATAGATATCTAAGAATCTTGCTAGCTCCTTTTCTGCTGCTTGCAAATGATCTTTTTAAGTAGCAATTCTCACTGTGGTTTAACAGAAAGCTGTTACAGATAGATTATAGAAGATTCTATGTCAGAGTTGGTAATAGGATTGAGCTTTCTGAAATTTTCAATTCTTTCTTCTAGATTCGTTTCTTTTAAATCCTCTAAAGATTTCAACGATGAAAATCTTAGTAGCCACAGTGTATGACATGTAGAAAGTACTTAATAAGTAGTGGTTTTTAAAATTCTAAGCTTTAAATGTTTATTGTAAGTAATTATTATTCAGATTTTACCTAAACTGACTTTATACCATGCAAAGAAATAAAACCTTGTACTGTGAAAACAATACTGAGGGAAAAAATAGACATTCAGCTTCTCCCTTCTTTTATTACCCATTAGGTTGTGGAAATACAATTATCGAAATGAGGCAGTTGACCAGCCTCAGTGATTCTTCTTCTTTTATTTTTTTTTTGCTTGATTGGGAGCTAGATCCCTGTACTCTCTCTCTGTAACATATTTAGTATATTTCTTACTTGCTTAATCTCTTATATTTTGGGCCCATACATCTTTTAGTTTAAGAGAAATTTTTTATTAAAAGGCATAATCTATAAGGGAATAAATGTAAATTATAATCATTTGTGTTCTACTTAAGTCTTGTGATTTATTCTTTCCGTAAGAAATAAGAAGTGTCTTTGGACAATCATTTGACAATAATTATTTCTTCACCTAATTTAAAAATCTTTACTTATAACTGTATTTCTTATTTCTTTTTTTCCTACAGTACAAAACTATCAGAGTAAACAACACAGATAGAACAAATGAAGTTATCCACAAGTTATTGTCAGTGCTAGGGGTAACTGTAAGTTACTCTGCTAGATAATCTTAATTAAAAACAAATGTTGATAGCTTAAATTCATAGAAATATTATCCTTTTCATGCTAAGACAGCTTCTATCAGAGATACCAGTTATATTTTGTTCCCCAAAATGTAGAAATTAGGGATAATAAGCTTTAATATCAGCTTAATATATGGGTGCTGTTCTTCTATTCTTATTTTAAAACTGATGTTAACTGAAAACCATAATGACATTGGACTATGAATTAAAAATATAATTGCATTTTAGTTATATATACTACATACCAATACAAAACATGTTTTGGTATAATATTCTTTTTTTTTTTTTTTTTTTTTGAGACAGAGTCTCGCTTTGTTGTCCAGGCTAGAGTGAGTGCCGTGGCGTCAGCCTAGCTCACAGCAACCTCAAACTCCTGGGCTTGAGTGATCCTTCTGCCTCAGCCTCCCGAGTAGCTGGGACTACAGGCATGCGCCACCATGCCCGGCTAATTTTTTTTATATATATATCAGTTGGCCAAGGGGTCTCGCTCTTGCTCAGGCTGGTTTTGAACTCCTGACCTTGAGCAATCCGCCTGCCTCGGCCTCCCAAGAGCTAGGATTACAGGCGTGAGCCACAGCGCCCGGCCGGTATAATATTCTTAATAAGAAAGTTTCAACCTCCTCTGTCCTTGCTACTTGACACTATTTGACTTCTCCTCCCCACCTAAATATCCTGTTATTATCCCAAGACCCAATGAGTCTGAGAATGATGAATTCTCAAGGATGTGCCTGGTAGTAGAATTTTTACATAAAGTCACATTGGCTGGCTATAGGTCCTGGAAATGACATGGCTAGTACCTCTAATGAATTGGTAAATAAAAGCACAACTTAGAATTAGATCATGGATTTGAAGAGGTTTAGTGTGAACATCACACTCTTCCCTGTTTTGCTTTTAGCTTCTGTCCCTTTCTGTTTTCTGTGATAGAGGTCAGTTTTGTTGAAATTTTAGTAGTGGAGAAGATTGGAATGTTTTGAGGATGAAGTAGAGGAGAGAGAACTGGAAGGTTCTTCTCATTGCTTCCCTACCAGTTATATAAACACCATACAATGAGTATTTTTATTAACGGGAGTCACTTTCAGAAGGACTTTAAAAACACTGTTCCTTGAATGAGATTCTTTATAAATATTAAAGTAAGTACACTATTAGTATTATGTGCCATGACACATATTTAAGACATGCCATAATATTATAAATTGTGTTTAGATTTGCTTGCACACAGTGCTGTAGTGAACCCTTAAGAACTTAGGGCCACCAAAATTTCAAATAAGAATTCCAATTGCTTTATTAAATTTAGTAACATTTCAAATGTAATTAAGTGTTATATGCACTGAGTAAAGCAGGCATGTCTGCATTGATTTCTAACATATATGCGTATATTTTGGAAGAGAGTGATAGTAGTTTTGGGGGTAGGAAGGGAGATTAATGATATGATTCATTTTCTTATCTATGTCTTACCTTTGGATCAAATGATCAAGCTGCCCAATCCCCCCTTCCCTGAAAAATTGTATTAATTAGTAATGAAGCTGTTTGGTTACACCTGTTTTAAGGGATTATTATGATGTTTTCAGATACTACATAAAAACAAAAGATTTTTATTAGGTTACTCTTCCTATTTACAATAAAAATTTTGGCTAGGGGATGGGGCAAGGATGAAGTGACAAACTGAGTGTTTGGGATGGGGGAGGGAGAGTGGTTTGTATGGTATGCTTCACAGTCAGAACCCTCCATTGTAATCAAGGTAGGGTCATGATTTTTAATTAGAAGTTAAAGGCAAGGGTATGAAATATTGCCAATAAATTTATTATGTTCTAGCTTCATTTAAAAGATTTTTGTTTGATCCCTCCTAGGGCATTCAGCAAAATCTGTATAATTTAGTGTTATTTCTTTCAAGTGGGATGTAGCCTGTCGCTAAGTTATAATTCTGCTAGTGAACAATTTTATTGTTGTCCCTGACTGGGCCTATTCTCTAGATAGATCTCTTGTCCTTTCTGTCCCCAAGAGTAGAATTATCCAAACTAAAGCCAATGCAAACTATGCCAGCTACCTATCTCCTCAAAGCCTCTTGGTCGGTCATTCTTCTCCTGCTCAGAAGCAGCTGAGCTAATAATCAGCCTTTATCATTTGCCTTTCTAGTCATGGACACAGCAGTATTTGTGGCTTTCTGGATAAGAAGGTTGTCTTTGTAGGGGCATGTTGGAATTTAAGTCTAATATTCTCTGAGAAGTCTGGAGATACAGCAAAAGTCTGGACTCTAAAGAAGAAATTAGCCTTGTAGAACCAGGGAGTTTGTTCTTTGTAAAAAGGCCTATGATTTCAGATTCCATGGGCTACCTATCTAGTGAGGGCTGAGTCCATTGCAGATTGTGGATCCCTAGCCCTCACTGGAAGGAAAAAGGCAGGATTCCTTAGTCCCCTGTTAGGGAATGAGGAAAGGGAGATTGGTTGCAGGAATCAACACTTCTGTCTTAAAACACCATAACCACCCTCATGAACCTGATTAGCATTTATAGTTTCTAGGATTTTCCTTTTGCAAAGCATAAAAATGCCAAAATATGTCCTTATTCAGGTACCAATTGTGAAACATTTATTGTGACCTTTAATCCTTTTATCTCCAAGGGTTGTGAGGGAGATTACCAGTTATGCATTAGTTCTGGGAAAGAAACAGCACTGTACCCACTAATTGGTAAGTTTTTGCAAAAATTGAAGTAGCTTTGATTGTGTTTTAATTATAATTCTAAGTGTGTCAGAGAAGTGGTCATATGGTCCTAAGCTAAACTACTAGTAAATAATCTCATACGATATTCATTTAATAAATATATATCAAGTGTTTACTGTGTACTAGGCAAATAATATCTCCTCATTCAAGCAGTTGATGGTATAGCTGAAGGGAGAAATGTAAATTTTCCTCTCTGCCTTTTCACTTTACCAAGCAAGACCTATCTTGCCAAAGTTTTAAAAAATTTTTTCTGTAAGAAAGCAATATGGATTAGTATCCCTTTTTCCTATTTTTCACATTCCCTTTATACATTTATTTTTCATATTCAATTCTTGAATTTCCTGCTCCCTTTCCCAACTACATGTTGCCTCTATGGAAGATAATCTCTAATCCAGTCATGCATGTTAATCCACCAGTGCACTACCTGCTTTGTGCCCAAATGTGCCCAAATTTAGGCATCATAAAGAAAATGAGATTAACCCATTTGCTATTTCTCTAGCCAAATTTTCCAGCATTTATTTTGAGGAATTATTGGTAAATAGGTTACACTTCACCTTATTTAAATCATTTATCTAAAAATGTATTTCTTGATCAGTATTTTATTCAGTGTGGTGAACAGAAATAGAGCAATTACAATAAGGGACAGTATCTGTAGCAAATCTTGAGATGATGACAACGGTAATGATGATGGTGACGATTTCTGTTAACAATCTTAAAATGCTTACTACCTGCCAGAGATTGTACAGAGTATATTATATGCATTATCTCATGTAATCCTTTCATTTATCTGTGAGGTCACCACTGTGTAATTTAGAGTGTTCCAAGTGATCTGAGAAATCTAAAACCAAACTTTTCTACAAAGTGTATATACTCAGAATATAGATATGCACTTAGTATATGCATAGAACTGAGGACAAACTCATCATCATTTCTGGTTTGCTTTTAATGTCATTTTTGTAAAAGCCAATGAGCCACTAAGTCATCATTAAAAATCAAATACTAAACATAATTGTTTCAATAAAATATATTAACTTAATTAAAACTAGGTAGATGGTAATTTTTAGGCTTAAAACAGCTCCAAGCTTCAAATTACCTCTCACTAAAAATCAATGGGTCATGATCCATGAATTAGCAGCAGTTCTTAATTGTATATTGTCATTTTAATGTGCCTTTAAAGCCTCAATTGTAGCTCACCAGCTGGCTATTTTGATAAATAGATTTTGTTTTATTGTTGTTATAAATGAAAGCCTTTTTTTTGCCCTAATCCATGGAACTTGCTATAGTAATTGATATTAATGGAACATTGACATTGTATGCCTATGCTAGGTGGAAAAGGAGAGTAAAAATTCACTGAGTTACATTCAGTAATAAATCAGAAATAGAAGGGAACTTACTCCCTGTACTTATAAAAATCTATAGCACAATGTTATTTGAGGATTATGCTGAGAAGATGCAATTATTTAGAGTATTACAGAGCAAAATATCATTGCAGTCAGGTGTCCCAGGGTTAGGTTATATAGTTGGTAAATTTCTTTTTGCATCTGTTTGTGTTTCTGATGCCCTGCTCTCTTCCTTTTAATTATTGCCTATGTACACCACCCTCAGAGGGTAGCGGTAGGAGGGAAACATAAATCAGATTAGTCCCAATGCTCTTGAGTAACTCTAACTATGTAACTCATAAAAAGTAATGAAATGTCTTTTTCAGACAAACACCATGTGGTAGATAGTAGTAATGACAGGGATGCTTGACACATGTTCCTATTATTTAAATAATTTTAGCCACTAATGTTTACTTATTGATCCTGATAACACTTGTGTGATAGGTAGGATAATTGTTTTAAGTCATAGATTTGGGGCTGAGTGAGGACATAGATTTGCTTAAGATTTACAGATCTAGTTAATGTCAAGGAAAAAACTAGAATACCTTTAAATATTAGATGCAAACATAGGAGGAGTCATTGTTATGCAACTTACAAACCAATGTGTGCATTCATTCCAAGCAAGATAGTCTTTAAAGGTTTTTCCTTGTTTTATCACCACCCCCTCTTAAAATTACCTTGGTAGGAGCACACCTGCGTTATGTAAGTATGTACATGATTATTCAGTCAACAAAAAGAGTCTTTATAACAAAACTACCAGGAGTAAATTGTAGTATATACTGTTTGTAGCACACATGGTCACAGCACCGGTCAGTCTAAAGTCTACATTTTGATTTTTTTAATGTAGGCCATGAATATCCCTATGGGATTAAAATGAAGCATCTGCGAGATAATGCAATCCTGACAGGAGGCTCAAGGGACCCTACCACTGTTTTCAACTCCCAAGAAGCCTTCCTCCTAGAAGAGCTGCCAGGAGAGAGGCAGTGCCAATTCATCCTAAAGCCCAGATTCCTGGCTGCAGCCCAGCAACTGAGAGGTGACTTGCTTTTCCTTCTTCATAGAATCTTCTTTCAGGAAAAGTTTTCATTTCTGAACATAAATTTAGCACAAAGGCAAAGACTCAGACTTCTGGCCAGATAGGGCATTTTTTTTTTATTTTTTTTATTTGCTAAGTGTTTTGAAAAGAAAGATGAGGTTTTAGAGGAAGATCGTTTTATAAGTGAGCAATAGGCATGACTGGTTTATAAACAGCAGCTGGTAGCAATACACTCTGTCCCTTCTCTCTTCACCATTCTGTTCTCTTTATCCTTCTGCCTACTGCAGAGTCTAAGGCACCAGGCAATGCTGCAGGTGCCTCTACGGTGATTTCTCTGGAAGTCTCTTCTTAGCCTACTAATCAAATATGAATTTCCTGCGAACATAATAAAGACTCTAGAAGGCTAAAAGTGAAGTACAACATAATAGCGTCAAATTTATAATTTGTCCTAACCTAAATTTGAGTTTTAAGCTTTCAGTCTGAAAGTAAGATTGTATAAGAAACAGAAGAAAATAGATACTGAAAAGTATGAGTGGGATAGTAGAAAACTGATGCTGAATTTCTGCAGCTGCCTTTGTCAGTTTGAACTAACTGGGCTTTGACTTTTAGCATATCATTTCCTTGCAGATTAATCACTAACAATTAATGGTTAGGTAAAAGCTCATCAATTGCAGTTCAATGAATCTTAAGATATGTAAATCTTCTTCTTGCATTGAGGTTGGGAAAACACTGCTGGAACTATAGTTTGAATTTAGAAAATGTATCTTCTATAAATTTGTGTAGTAATTAATATCTTGCTTTTTTCACTTTCATTTTATTCTATTTCATTTTAGTTTATGCTTTTTAATTTCAGCATATTACAGGGATACAGAGATTTAGATGACTTATATTGTCTTTGCCCTCCCCGAGTCAGATCTTCAAGCCTTTCCATCCCAGACAGTGCGCATCACACCCATTAGGTGTGAATATACCCATCTCCTCCTCCCCTCTCCCACGTGCCCTACACCCGATGAATGTTACTACCATATGTGCACATAAGTGTTGATCAATTAATACCAATGTGATGATGTGTACATGTGGTGCTTGTTTTTCCATTCTTGTGATACTTCACGTAGTAGAAAGGGCTCCAGCTCCATCCAGGATAATAACAAGAGGTGCTAGATCACCATTGTTTTTTGTGGCTGAGTAGTACTGCATGGTATTCATATAGCACATTTTATTAATCCCCTCATGTATTGATGGGCACTTGGGTTGTTTCCACATCTTTTCAATTGTCAACTGTGTTGCTATAAACATTCTAGTGCAGGTGTCTTTTTTAGAGAAAAAAATAAGATGCTGCAGTATCATGATACACATGGCACTTGAAACACTGTCAAAATATTACAGGGTCACTACAATTTGTAGTGCCCTAAGCAGCAGTGCAAACAATGAGAGTGCCACATACTGTCTCTGTCACAGCTTCTCAACTCTGTAATTCAGTGTAAAGAGAAAGCAGCCATCAGCAGTAACTAAGGATTGCCTGTGACTGTGTTACAATGAAATTATTCTGGACAGTAAAATTTGAATTTCATATAATTTTTATGTGTCACTAAATATTATTTCGATTTTTCAACCTTTTTCAAAATGTGAAAATCATTCTTAACTTGCTGGTTATCCAAAGTGTTGGCAGGCCAGATTTGGCCCAGGGAGCATGGTTTGCTGCCCTCTTTTTAAATGATTAGAATGCACAGCTAATTAACCACTTTGGTACGAGCGTTGACTATAGTTGATAGCCACAGATGAACGTGCACAGCGACTTTAGCCTACAGCTGTGATATGAAGTCGCACAGCCAAGCGTCGACTTTAGCATTAATAACAAAATTTCTACAACAGTACTCCAAATTGAGGCAATACAACCCCTGTACAACAGAGACTCTGTCTCAAAAAATAAATAAACAAAATTTAAAAAAAAAAGAAGAAGAAGAAGAAACAAATATATCGAGTTTTGACTAATTGTGGCTTCTTATTCTGGTGGTTTAAAAATTAAATATTAATTGTTCTCAGCCAATACTTTAATATAAATTATCTATTATTCTCAGCTAAAACACTAATACAAATTATCTCCCTCTTTTATGTTCCTGCTAACACTGGAAACAAGATATGATTTTCTAAATAGGGAAACATGGCAAATATACGCTATCTTAGGAGTAAGTAATTTAAGAATTTCTGAGGTCTGAGGAATGTATTGTGTTTTTATTAAAATTTATTTGAAGATACAGCATTTTGCTATGTTGCCCAGGCTGGTCTTGAACTACTGGACCCAAGTGATCCTCCTGCTTCAGCCTCCCAAAGTGTTAGGATTACAGGTGTGAGCCACTGTGCCCAGCCCTGGACTTAAAATAAGTAGGCCACAAAGTAGACTCTGACAAGTGGCACTTGGTAAACAGGGTCAATTTATACATTTTTAATATATGAAGAAAAATAATTATTAACTCATTTTTCCTTTTCAGAAGTCAGAGTAATATTGCTATGTATGCAACAAGGGTAGGGGAAAAAGAATGGAGAGACTCTTGTTCTTATACGGATTCCCTTATAAGGGGTCTCTTTGTCATGTTTACTTCTTTATATATTTACATGTATCTTTTATGAACTTCTTAAGGGCTGGGAACTAATCCCAAGACTTAGTCCAGTGTATAGAACAAAACAGAAAATAAATGAAAGATAGAATGACATTGTCAACCCTAGAATGAAAGTGGAAGAGTTCTAGACTTAAGTGGGATCTATTTGTGTGGTCTGAAGTAGTGCTTGGAGTTCCAGCCTGAACTGAACTTTTATGGTAGATAGTAAAATATGAGAAGCATCTTTTTCGTTTTTATTATTATTATGAGAATTTTTTGCCTTTTGTTTCTTTTTTTATTATTTCAAAATATTACAGGTAATCAATATTTTTGGTTACAAGGATAGATTTTGTGATGCTTGAATCAGGGTTATATGTGTGATCATCACCCTGATAGGGTTCATTGTACCCAATGGATAAGTTTTCACCCCTCCCTCCTTCCCTTCCACCTGGCTTGATTTGCACTGAGTTTTACTTCCCTCTGTGCACATATGTGCTCATCAGTTAGTTCCAAGTCTATAGCAAGTATATATGGTATTCATTTTTCTGTTCTTGAGATACTTCACTTAGGATAAAGATCACCAGTTCCATCCAAATTATTGCACAAGGCATTAATTCATCTTTCCTAATGGCTGAGTAGTATCTCATGATATACATAAACCACATTTTAATTCACTTATGAATGGATGGGCACTTAGATTGATTCCACATCTTTGAATTGTGCTGCAATATACATTCAAGTGCAGGTGTCTTTTTGGTAAAATGACTTCTCCTTTGAGTAAATGCCTAGTAATGGGACTTCTGGATCAAATGGCAGGTCTACTTTTAGTTCTTTGAGGAATCTCCATAATGTTTTAATTTGCAGTCCCACTAACAGTGTATATTCTCTCTGCAGCCATGCCACCATGTATTGTTTTTGTTCTTTTTCATAAAAGCGATTCCAACACAGCTAAGGTGATATGTCATTGTGGTTTTGGTTTGCATTTCCCTGATGATTAGTGATATTGAGCACTTTTTCTTATATTTATTGGCCATTTGTCTATCTTCTTTTGAAAAGCTTCTGTTCATGTCTTCTGCCCATTTCTAATGGGGTTGTTTGTTTTCTCTTGCTGAGTTGCTTCAGGTTTTTGTAGATTCTGGTTATTTTCCCTTTGTCCCATTCTGTAGGTTGTCTGTTTGCTCTGTTGAGTATTTCCTTAGCTGTGCAGAAGCCTTTTAATTTAACCAAGTCTCATTTATTTATTTGTGTTGTTGCTGCAATTGCCATTTGGGTCTTAGTCATAAATTCTTTGCCTAGGCTGATATCCAGAAGAGTTTTTCCTGTATTTTCTTCTACAATTCTTATGATTTCCAGCCTTACATTTAAGGCTTTTATCCATCTTGAATTAATTTTTTGAGTGGTGAGAGATATGGATCCTGTTTGATTGTTCTGCATGTGGCTATCCAGTTTTCCCAGCACCATTTACTGAATAGGGATTCTTTTCCCCAGTACATATTGTCTGCTGTGTCAAAGAGCAATTGCCTGTAGTGGATGGTCCTAGCTGGAGCAATCAGGCAAGAGAAAGAAATAAAGGGTATCCAAATTGGGAAAGAGGAAGTCAAGCTATTGCTTTTTGCTGACAATATAATCTTATATCTACAAAATCCAAAAAACTTCACTAAGAGACTTCTGGAATAAATAAATTCAGCAAAGTTTCATGTTACAAAATAAACATATACAAATCAGTAGCATTCCTATACATCAATAACATTCAAGCTGAGACTCAAATCAAAGACTCAGTAATATTCACAATAGCTACAAAAAAATAAAATACCTAGGAGTACACGTGAATAAGGAGGTGAAAGATGTCTACAAAGAGACCAGTGAAACACTAAGGAAGGAAATCACAGATGACACAAACAATTGGAAAAATATATCATGCTCATGTATTGGTAGAATCAACATTGTTAAATTGTCCATGCTACTCAAAGTGATGTAGAGATTCAGTGTAATTCCCATCTAGATGCAAAAATCATATTTCATAGATCGAGAAAAAATAATTCTATGGTTTGTCTGGAATAAGAAAAGAGCCGGAATAGCCAAAGCAATCTTACCCCATCAGAACAAATTTGGAGGCATCAAATCACCAGATGCGACAAGGCTGTACTAACTAAAAGAGCATTGTGTTGGCACAAAAGTAGAGACATAGACCGATGCAATAGGACAGAGAAGTCAGATATAAAACTGTCTTTTTCTTCTACCTGTTTTCCTTGTCATTCCAGTGTTTTCCCCTGTGGGTTTCCTACTCTGACTATGGGGGAGGTATTCTTAATTTGGGGAGATATGTGGCCAGAATAGAATTTCTAATTAAAGCTTTTTGTTCTCACGAGTATTACTATATAAGCACAAAGTCTTAAGAATTGTACTCTTTAATATTCACTTTCCTTATTTAAGCATGAAGAAAACAGTAGTCCGAATTGTACCAGAGTTATTCAGGAAATCCAGATTTACAATAATTTAGTTAGCTTTACATTTACATCACTCATTTTTATAGTACTAGCATGCTTTTCATCAACTTTTGACATTAGAAATTAAGAGGTATTCATTACAAGTTATGCAAGACAGTAAACATTAATGACTTCTTTTCTCAGTCCCAGAGTAAACGTGAACTCTCAGATTGAATGCTGTATATAACAAAAGACATGGCTACCACTGAAAGTATTTATGATTAAGTAAAAGACTTGATTTCTGCATTATCCTCTGTCAACATTCATACCATAGCTGATATAGATTTTGTTGATAGAGCATTCCTTTGAAGAAGTGAATGAAAGCTAAAAAAATCAAATAAGTCTGATAGTTGTAGAAATAATAAAATTAGGTTAAATATGAGTAAACAAGACTAAGTACAAGTACTTAACATACAGATTAATGTACATATGAAACAGACATTTGCACAGATTGACATTGCTAGACCTACAGGAACCCCTTCTTGGATTTAAGAAAGGCTTTGGTTTTCTGTTTTTCACGATGGCAGAGGTTGGGAATGTCAGGGCAGGAAGAAAGTGCTTGAGTTAAGCAGACTATTGCTGTTCCTTCATGTCTGCAGAACTCCTGAGGGGGGTGACACCAATGGAGAGTGGATGCAGAGAGGTGGCCCTCTTTGTGAGGAGGAAATTGGTATCTTGGCAGCTTTAATCAAGATTGCTGTGACCTATGCCCTGGGCAAACTAGTTGTTTTCACACATTTTCCTATATAATTCTCTCAGTAAGCCTCTGAGAAAGAAGTAATTTTTTTCTTTTATTTTAAAGATGAGGAAAGAGGGTAAGTAACTTGCCCAAATAAGTATCTGAGCCAGGAGTCTACCGAAATGCTGTGCCCAGAGCCAAAGACCTTTACATACCTGAGTGTGTCTGGACTGCGTGTACGTGATGACGTACTTACTATATCCCAGGAAGTGAAAGGCCATTTGGTAAAATGTTGCTTACTTGCTTATCCTCCCACAACTTGGCCTTTTAAATATCTGGTTTAAGTAGGTTATTCTGAGAAAATAAAATGCTAAGATATGTCATAGCCAAACAATATGGAAGCCTTCTTCGAAAATAGCCTTTGACACCACTGACTACGTCCTCCTTGAAAAGCTGCTCTCCTGTAATGTTTCATTATCAGGGAATGCTGGCAGCTGAACATCATGTCTGGGTAGCTTTGTTGGGTGTCACAAGGAACAATGCCACACAGCCAGAGTTTAATGACTAATTCTCATGCCCTCTCACTGCAGAAAATGGGGTCCAACCATGAGTAGGCACTACCTGGTCATTATGGCTCCTCAAATCCTGGTTGCATTAACCTTAATTGCAGGCTCTTTGGAATCTGCTCCACAAATGCAAGCTTCAGGGGTCAACCAGAGATTTGGGCAGAATGTACACGCTATTTACAGTTCCTATTATCAGGTTTTCTCCCTTCTCGGATCCCCCCTCACTTCCCAGCTGCTGTGGGTACCTGTATCTTGGTTCTCTTGTTGTTCAAGCCAGCAAGAGTACAGGTTTCTCTCTAAATTTCAGTCACCCCCCACTACCGTGACACCTGCCTTCAGGCCAAATGCTCTAAGAATGTGAAACTCACCCAGTGCTCTGCCATTCCCTTCCTACAGGTGTCAAACTTATACCTCCACTTCTACCTTATTTTGGTTACTCTTCAGTGCCTTCTGGTAGGTTTATTTTGGTTTGTTTCTGCAGAGTGCACAGTTGTTACCTGTGTGCATGTGCTGCAGGGAAGAGGCAGGGGTCATCCACTTTTAGAATTGGAACCTCAAAGAGCTTTTTGTGTGTCAAAACTTGTGCTCCTAACTCTCAAATCTCTTGACTTTCAAGTTAAAATTAGTTACTGTTGACATTTCTTACTTGTGCCTATTTTGTTCATGCTGTCTTTTTCTACTAAAATCCCTTCACATTTTCAATTATAGTTCAGTAGTGATTTATTGGGTGCTTACTATATGCAAGACACTATCCTCTATCTGTTGAAATCTTATTCATTCCAAATATAAATCAAATGCCAGTGCCTTCAAGATCACGCCCCTCCTTACTGCTGGATAGATGTGATTACTTTCCTCTGAATGCCTTCAGTACTTTTTTACTCCCTTATGACATTTTATTCCTTACTATGCTTGCTTTTATCCCCACTATGAGAGGTCTCATTTCTAATATATTATAAACTACATTTGCAAAGACAGTTCTCACTCATGTTTGCATCCATTCATGCTACCTTAAATATGCTTTTCAAAGTCAGGAACTGAAAAGAAACATGAAAGTGTTTGTATTAGCAAGGGAAAGAAAAAAATTGTAGACTATCAGCTTCCTGTCTCTGCTCTCAATAGTAGAGTGGAACATCAGGTAATGAAATATTGTTTATTTCTATGGAACATTTTAATACAGATAAATCCTCTCTTCCTTCCTCTTCTTCTGCTTCTTTCTCTTCATTCTCTTCCCATTGATCTTGTCCTTCTCTGCCTCCTACTTCCCCTTCCCCTATATCTTCTCTATTTTACTCACCATTTAAGTACGATCAAATTCTAACTTTTTTGCATGCCTATTCTCATCTTTAAAATGCAAAAATATGTGTGTTGGTATGCAACACTTTTTGCTTTATGTTGTTATAGTCAAAAACGAAGACTTTCCTTCACCTTTAAAAGTTTACTACCCAAACTCCAGTAAACAGACCAATGATGTCCCCAGAATGGATGGGAGAACTCAAATATTTGAGTTTTCCTTCACCATGCTTCTTTCCTTTATAAAATATTATCATGAAATGTAGCTTGAATTCTCAACAAAAGACATCTATAAATATTTTTGTCTCTTTGAGGCATTGTAAAGAACATGTTGTAAAATAGAAATTGTAGAAATAAGGTGAAAATGAATTAAACTAATTTTGCTAATAACTCTACTCCTTTGTTAGATTCACATTGGAAGACATCTGAAAAGAGAAGATGTGTCATCAATTCGGCCTGTTGTTGGGGTTCTACCACCGAACAGGACAACTCCCTTGTTTCACTGCCAACATCTCCTCCTGTGGCAGGAGAGCTCCTTGGACTTTCTTTGGAAAATACCTCTGAGAAGGACACACATGAGGTTGTTGATGCCCCATGTGTCAATATAGGAAAGACAGTTGGCCAGGGAAGCACAAACATGGCCTCTATTTTAAAGTTCACTGATGACATCCTCAAGCAGCCTGAGGTTGAAGACGTTTTAAACAAAAACGACTGTGACTTGGATCACTGTAATGAAGAAGGTGCTCAAATAGAACATCCACTTGAGTCCAAACTTTTTGGAGTCTCTCTGAAAACTATTTGTAAAAATGGCAATCTGCCAAAACCTATCATGGTAAGCTTTTGTCCTCTAAACTAATGGGAAGATGTGGGAAAGTAGAGCACCAGGAGATAGATCTGTCCCCAAATGGAAAAACTGTAGACACCACTGGTTACTTCAAAGTATAAAAATCTGACATAGTATTGCAGAATGAGAGGAAGACATAGTAAGAAGAGATAATCTAGTCTACTGATTACACGGAAGAGCCACATAAGCCTGCTCAGATAAATTAGGGTTTGTTCTGTAGACAGAGAATCTTCATTATCCCTCAGAAATCCTGTCTTGAACTCCACATTGTTCTGAAAGTCTTCTTTTATCACTTTAGTATCAGAGACTACTGACTCTTATATTTAAGTTTTCTTTTTTTTTTTTTTATTTTATCTCCCCATCCTGAAATAATGCAAAATATTTAAGTTTTAAGAATTGTTTTATTTGTAGTTAAAGTATTTAAGCATAAAGATACAGCCTCTGGCATTTATTCTTTTGCATATACAATCAGTCAGATCAAAGCCACTGAGTTTACATTCTCTGAAATTGATATATTAATCACTTCTAAGCAGAATTTATTCAGTATACTCTAAGCACTATGGTACATGTATGGCATTTCATGCTATGCTATGCACCTATTAGTGCCAGGCACCAGGCCAGCCACTGTTGGTTATCCTTCACAACAAATTTCAGCGGTAGTTAATATCATATCATCATCACTTCTTGACAAATTTTTTGAAGCCTCAGAACTTTATTCAAGGTTACAAAGTAAATATGTAGCACAACTAGGTTTTAAATCCTATGGATTACATGTCTCCAAAATCCATCCTCCTCTTATACTGCAAGCAGAGGATGTAAAAATAGAAAAAAAGCAAAATTATAAAACATTTAAAATACACCATCAGCAACTTTTAGGCATGTAGTGCATTGTTGTGAACTGTAGTTTCCTTCATGTACTGTAGATCACCTGAACTTAATTTTCTTGTCTAACTGAAAGTTTGTACCCTTTGACTAAAATCTCTCCAACCCCAGTACCACCTCTACACCTTGGGAAACACCATTCTGCTCTCCATAAAATTTGACTTTAATCTTTGTAGCCACCCATCCAGCTCCAATCCTTCAGTGCTTCTACACTAGCACATCCTAGCCTCTGGCGGCCAAAGAGGGCAAGTACATGTTCCCTTGTTTATATGTGTGAAGTTCCATTTTGGTTTTTTTTTTCCTTTGCTTTCCCATAGGATATTCTTTTGTTCCTGAATGAAAAAGGCCCTCTGAAGGAAGGCATCTTCTTTGTACCGGCTGACATGGAATACTGCCAACAACTAAAAGAAAAACTTAATTGTGGAGTACCAGTACAGCTGTACTGGGAAAATGCCTTTGTGCTGGCATCTATCTTAATGGTAGGAAAAGTTCTTCCTTTATCCAAAGCATGTGTAGCCCTCAAGCAAGTTATTTTTTTTTTAATTGTGAGCATTATTTCTGTCTACAGTGACCTATAATAGATTTAGAATTGAAATAGTGTTAAAAAAACATTTTGCAAATCAACATTGGACTTTAAAAGCCACCACCACTGATGTAACATATCAGATATGCTTTTAAAATAGTTCTTGTGTCATGCTAATCTCATCTTCACTTGCTAATCTTCACTTCTGAAACCCCATGTAATATTACATTTAATTAAAATTTAAACTAATTAACACACACACACTCTCAGAGATGTTTACCAAAACAAACCTACTGCTTATGATGATTTCCTCACTGTCTCACTACCTTCTTAACAAAGGCAAAGTTTTCAAAAACTAACATTTATTAAACTTTTGAAAGTAATCATAGAAGTTTATGATAATAAAATACATTTGCCTTACACCTAAAACAAAGATTTGCTGAGACTGCTGAAAATTCCTTTTGTTTTCATAATCATCATGCCACAGATATTCCTTCCCTTGTCCCCTAACTCCTTTTACTTTAAAAGCTGAGGAGGAATGAATTCAGCATCCAGGTTTTCTTTTAACTTTAACACATTTGGCTTTCTTTGTAGTTCTTATGCTTCAACCGTGGTTACTTAAGCCCCATCTACAGTTATGAGATTATAGAGTTCTAAAATGTTTTCTACCCGACATTCTTGGAAATGCCGTACAGTGTTGGAAAAGCTAGGGTCAAAACGAGCTTTAAGCTGAGGTTTTGACCCTGGAAATTGCTTCTGCAGAACTGCCTTATTCTCCCATCTCCCAAAGGATTGGAATAGACCAGAGCCAGGGGTAGACACAGGGCCCTAGCCTGCATCTCAGGGCCTGAAGCATAAAAACCAAATGAATAAAAACATGATGATAGTGAATCTTACATATGTCTACTCCAGCTGAGTGGCCAGCAGCTTATACAATCTTACTTCATGACTTTATGTACAATCACATGTTTCTTGGTACATGGTCCATGTCTGCTCTTCAACAAACCCTGCTAAGAATTTTGCAATTAAATATCACTCAAGAAAATGAGAGTGTTTCAGCTAGGGTCATCTAATCTGTTTTGCATAGGGTTTGTATTTATTCTGCAATCCTGGAATACAATAAATATATACACGGTATAGTACTTAATATATATGCCAGGACTTATATGTACGATGGACTTTTTTTTCATATAATTAGTTTTTCTTCCATCTCTTAATTTAAGAAAGTAAAACCTGTCTCAGAAAACATTTTCTTACTCTGCTAGTCTTCATAGCACTACACTTATTAAACTTTTGTGCTAAATCTTTGAGGCTACGGCAAAGAAGCATAGTTTTAGAAGAGGTACGTTCTGTTTCAAATTATAGAAATAGTATTTGTCTGAAAACAAAAGATGAAAAATGGTCCTGATGATTGAAGAGTCTGGTTAATAGGTTCCAGTTAATTGAAGTTTTGTCATATAACTGTCTTTTACTCCCATTTCTTCCAAGTGGTCATAGGAAGGAACATATTTTTTTTACCAAAACTTTGTGAGCTTCTGTTTGTTTTCTTTTTTTGTTGTTGCTTATTTCTTACTGTCAAGTCTATTTTGAAATGATACTTAAGATTTCCTTGAATTTTTCACTTATGCTGGTTTTGCTTACATATAAGTTTAACTCTTCAAAGTCTAATTGCACAAAGATTGCTTGAAACACCATAACCTTCATTCCTCTGACCTTTGAGGAAAAATTCACATTTAATTCTGTGGAATCGCAACTCAAATGAATTTGGGAGTTCTGCTGATGGCCTAGGCTCTGTTTTGGAGAAGAGACTTTCAGTTAGGTACAGTGAGTTGTTCACTATAATTCAGAACCACACTTCTTACGTTCTATTCATCTGTGATGGCGGTTGTATTTCATAACCTGTTATTGCAGCTGTGGGAGAGTTCACTGAGTTGTTACTAAGTTATTGTCTTTCAAGTGTAGCTTTAAGATTTAATGATGTTTTTCTCAAGACAGGTCAGAAGTAAGTTTTCCACTCAGACTTTAAAGGAGCTATTATCACTATCCGATTTTGCAATAACACATTTTTGCCTCTTCTAAATCTGACTTTTATTTATTATTTTTTCTTTTTTTCTTTTTATATTTATTTATTTCATCTTATTATGGAGGTACAAATATTGTTAGGGTTACAAATATTGCCCCTGCCCCCCTCCCTCCCCCCCCCATGTGTCAAGGGGTGTATGCTTCCATAACGTGTGTGATGCACACCACCGGGGATAAATCTGACTTTTAAAGTGGGTGCAACAGCTAAAATTAGTTTTACCCTAGGACAGGTAACTTTTGTGATGATGTACCTGATTTACAGCTATTCAGGTACATTTCTACCAGAAGATATGATAGAACAGAGAAAGACTTTGAATCAATCCATCTTCCTTCTTGTTAACTACTCTAAAAAGAAACAAAGTATGGTAAAAGAGTGACATGATGAGAAACAGGTTCTTAAAATCACCTTAGAAACTCATTTATAGTTGATTTGCCTTCTCTTGTCCCTCATTAATGTTTGGCCATATGACACCAGCTGCAGTTTAATGATGACCTCTACTATGGATGTGACCTTGTTGGCATTGATGTGTACAGAAATGGTGAAGGTCTGTCCCTACCCTGGAGGTGCTCATAAGCAAGTGGGAAAGATGGCCCATGTAATCAACTAGCTGTAACAATAAGTTATCATAGCTTTCACATTAATGAAATGAACATGATACATAAGTAACAAGTTGTGTGTGGCCTTCTAAAAAGAACATAGATAAAGTTATGGTTGTTTTGGTGTTCCAGTAAAAGTTAAAATTATGCAGTTGTAGACTTTCACATTTCTTTTTTTTTTTTTTTTTTTTAACACCAAGCAGACACATGCATAGACTTTCACATTTCTATATGTTATAAGCAGGAAATTGCAAGAAGGTAGCCAACTATAGGTATAAGTGCTTTGACATGAAATTGAATTTCCTTTTCCTAATGTTTGCTTAGTGGGAGATCAGAGTAAAAATTTGGTGCTGCTAATGCTAAAGTCTCTTCCCCTCCAGTGCCATAGCAACAGTGAGAGTTGGCCTAGAATCAACTTTCTCAGACTAGGAACAAATTTACTTTTAAGTTTTTGTAAATAAAAACAAAACAGCCAATGTCCTGGGTCATATCCTGTTTGTGGCATGGTTTGGGTAACACACCCAGCCTCACCAGTAGTCGCAGCAGAATAGGTCTCCAAGAAAGGATAATGTACTGTGGACACATTACTTACTGTATGTCAAGCATGGTGGTGCTGCCCAATCCCCAGATCTCAGCTTGTATCCATAATACTTTATCTCCCAAAATATATGACAACCTTTCTATATGGAATACTGGGAAAAATTCTAAGTGGCTCTTGATGCAATTGTGCACCAACAGCATTGGAATATAAGTTTCTAAGTTTTATTCACTTCTGTTTCCCTAGAACCTCAAGAAGTGCTTGGCACCTATGAATAAGCCCTTGATCAGTGATTGAATGAATGATTATGAGATTGTGAGCCTCACAGATATCTGGGTGCATTTCCTTGAGCTAGCCATTTAAGGGAAGGGGAAAAGAGGACTTAGAATGGTTTACTACCAGACCCGGTCATGTTCTACTAGCTTCCTAAAGTGTGTGCAAACAGGAGGATCCACCAAAATGGGTTGTCCTTTCTCTTTCCCACCATAATCCAGACTTTGGTTATCCCAGTGACTTTTGTTAGAAAAAAATCAAAGCCTCTGTTTCTTTGTCCCCTGTCTGTGGTGAATTGGCACAGAGCTCTATATAGTTCATGGGAGGTAGGACTTAACTGAACTTTTCAACAACATATTTTCTTTTTGGTTTCTCTAATACATACTTGGTATGAGAAAAATGATTAAAAATATTTGTTTTTTAATCTATGTAAGGATTTTCTGAAAGAAATTCCTGGAAGTATTTTGTCATCCGATCTTTATGATGAGTGGGTCGGTGTCATGGATAATGGAGAGGATAAAGACAAAATAAATAAAATTCAAAGGTATTTATTCTATTTTTTACGTCTCAAAAATCCTTTCTAAAAACTTTAAAAACTATTAAGTTTGTTAAAAATCAAAGTCATATTCATAGGGAGCAGTTTAAAAATGGATTTATGCTAGCTCATCATAGTTATTATTTTATCCCTACTCCTATTAACATGGAATACTTAAGCATTGTACACCTTCTGTATATCTGAATTAATAGGAAGTGTATAACACTCTGGTAGGCCAAGGGGAGAGGATTGCTTGAGCTCAGAAATTCGAGACCAGCCTGAGTAAGAGTAAGACCCCATCTCTACTATAAAATAGAAAAAAAATTAGCCAAACAACTAAAAATAGAAAAAAAAAATAGCCAGGCATGGTGGCATGTGCCTGTAGTCCCATCTACTCGGGAAGCTTGAGGCAGGAGGATCTCTTGAGCCCCCAGGAGTTTGAGGTTGCTGTAAGCTAGGCTGATGCCACAGCACTCTAGCCCAGGCAACACAGTGAGACTCTGTCTCAAAAAAAAATATATATATATAGGAGGTGTAATTCAGTGGTTCACTAGGTAATACTGTAGGCCCAGTCTATAGTTTATGATCTTAATTTTGGTAAATATTGAAGTAACCAAGATAACTCCTTATATAATTCCTTCAGGAACTGAAGTCATATGGAGAAAATGACCTATTTCCTCTACTCAAGCAATTCAGTTTGGTAGAGTAAGGATAGATAAACCAAGAGTCACCATAATAATGCAGTATAATCAGTGCTATAAAAGACATATCTAGAGAGTTCTGTGGGAGCACAGCAGAGAATCAGTTAATGCCTTGAGAAGTGTCAAGGAAAAGGGGAGTTGCAAAGTCTCAGTCTGATTACACAGCATGCACTGTTTCTACTCATGCACAGGGAAATTGCTTGGAGAACTCATCACTCCCATGCCTGGGTATTTCTCACATTATAATAGACTAGGAAAGAAATGTCCATTAGCAAACAGAAATACTTTGAGTCCTGTAAAAATTCAAGCATCCAAAAATCATTTATTGGCATATGCTTGTTTAGTACAGTTATTTTCTTGAGCAACTTTTAAATGTGAATTATCTACATACTGCTCTTGATGTACATAATTTATATGTGTAACATACTATACCTGTGGAATACACCAGAAACTAAACCAGGTGACATAGCACTACCTCCGCTTTCAGTATAGTTTGGTGGAAGCCATTCAGATAGCATCCAAGTTTATATTTGTTTGCTCATTGTCCAAAACTTTATCTATCTATCCATCCTATAAGTTGTTAAAGTGTGTTTTTTTATAAAAAGGTAATATTATTACTGTCATGCAAATATAAAATAAACCCATGTGAAAGATTTTCTTTAAATTGTTAATAAGGGAATCAAGAGGATGTTACAGCCATCTTTGTAGATTTCAAATTACTACAACTTCTGTGTTCAACCAAGTTGAGCCAGAAACACTGAAAATGAATTCACAAAAAGATACAAAACTGGCCTTTTCTACCAGGGCAAGGGTGCAGATAAAGCAGTTGTTGTTCCGCCACCCAGAATTTTCAAATCTTTAGCCAAGTGTTATGTGTACTGCTATCAGTTATCTACAATTTACACAATTGTAAAATATCCCTTGTGAGAACCTTAGGGACCTCATAGTAACCCAGAGCATTTTTCTAGATGCCTTATTTTCCATTGAATATACCCAACAATCTTTTGGTCTATTTCAAAATCCTTTGTTACTTACCCTTATGAAAACCGTACTCACTGTCAGTCTGTTATAGTGAAGAAAGGCTTTTCTGTTATTTGTGCAACAGGAGTCAGACTACCTTGTTATCACCAGGTTGCAGATTCTTATAGAAAAAATCTATAATCATGAATATCAGCCTATATATGTTTTCTGGATAGTAGTAGTAATAATTTTTGGTGAATAATCATTTAAAAATTCCTTATCAATTACCAAATGAGAACAATAGAAAACATACTACTATAAGTTTGATTTATATGTGAAAGTGATACTAATGAGGTGATATTTGGGACACAATCAACCTTAGAAGATGGAGGAGCAGAGCATAAACTCTCAGAATGGACCTGGAAGTCTTTATAGCTCTGAGGTTTGGGTTCTCACCAAGAGACAACATTCCTGAGTTACTATGTGGAAATAAAGGAGAAATTTACAATTTAATTGCTGTTTAATTTTATCAGAAAAGTTTTTGTGGGTTTTGGTTGAGATTATTCTGAATTGTTATAGGATTTGCCTAAGTTTAAACACATTCTACTAGTTTCAGGGAAATATTTCAGAAAAGTTTTTATTTTTTAATGGTACTTTTTCTGCATTCTTTCACATTTTCATTGGGTTGCAAAGACAGTGTAGAAATATAAAAAAAAAAATAAATCCCAAGTGCTTATTTTCTTCTCTTCAGGCATCCTCACTTTGCTCAGTACACGTTAAGTGAAGCTTGTGTATCTGAGTTGGGTTCTTGATTTACCCTCTTCTTTGTGCAAAGTTAGAGTTGCATGTCTTTACAAGTTTTAAAAAAAGTCTTGTGTATTGAGTGCATTTTTCTGTCTTTAGGCTCTTAGAGAAGCTTCCAAGAGCAAATGTCGTGCTCTTGAACTATCTATTTGCCTTACTATACAATATTGAGAAAAATTCTGCATCGAATCAGATGGATTCATCAAACCTGGCAGCCTGTGTGGCTCCCGCAATTCTTTGGCCTGCTCCTTCCTGTGGCCCAGAACCAGAAAATGAATTGGTAAGAAAGGTAACAAATGTTTTCTTGTGTACCCTGGGGGACTGCATCACTATTTTGCAAATGAAATTTGAGGCATTAATTATGATAGACAATTTCTTTAGCTTAAATATACTTCTAAATTAGAGTTTACTAACTATGGGGTGTTTTATTCGATCAAGGTAGACTATACAAAAATGATTTGTCAAGAAGAAAAGTGATAACAATTGATTTACTTCTCTTTTCACTTTATAGAGGATAAACAGTATGACTAACTTAAACCACAGAGTGATAAGAAAGTAGGTGATACGGTTGTAAAATTTAAACGAGGCAAAACAAACAAAAAGGATGCTGGAGTTAGGCAAGCCAAGATGCAATTCTCAGCCCCACCACTTGCCTGATGCATGATCTTGGGCAAATTCAGTGACACTGACCCACAGTGTCCTCATCTAAAAATGTGGAAGTGGTAATAATATAGTAGTTACTTAAAAACTTCACTCCTGTAGTGCCTGGCAGTTAATGGCATGTTTGAAGATATCATATATATTCAGATATGGAATGGGATTTATAGACCTGTTAGATGAGAACTAGCACTTCATGTTTGTCTATCTTTGTATAGGTTATGCTGCTCTTTCAATTTATGCTAGAGAAATGCGAAACAGTATTTGGAGAAGAAATCAAGTCTCTTTACGGAGAATTTTCGGGAACATATGGCACTAGAGGAAATACCTCAGGTATTTCAGGTATTGCCAATAATTGGATTGTTTTTGTGAAAAATACACATATGTTTGTCAAGATGCTTGGGCAACTGTTTTCCTGGAGCCCCTGGCAGCTGAGGTGAAGGGAGCCTCTGTCCTGGGTCAGTGGGGCCTGAGGCTTCCAATCCTTTCCTGAAAGGCCTGCTATAGGCCAGGGCACGATCATATTGTGTTAGGGCTAAAAAATATATATAATGAGGTCACAGCTTTCAAGAAATTATTGGTGGCAGCATGCTATGGTATGATGGTTTGAACCTTTTTTTAGTAAAACTTTGATAATCCCTAATATAATACAGTAGGATGTGCTATGGTTGAAACTGGAATAAAAAGCCCAGAGGTGGTAGAAGCAGGCCTATTTTTTTTGTTTTTTTTTTCCTCCTTCCTTTCCCTCCTCTTATAGGTCCCTGAGACACTTTTCAGAATTCTAATGTGCTGTGAGATGGTTTGAAAACAACTCACATCATTTTAGGTTGGGAGATGCTGAATTCAAAGACAAACCACCTGTTAGAATATGATTTCCTGTACCCACCAATTACTAGTTATGTTTTCTTGGGCCGATTATTCTATGCCACTGAAAATTAATATCTTCATTTATGAAATGTGGATACAAATTTCTTTGTGGTTATTATAAATATTAAATAAGATAATGGGTATTGAAGAACTTTGTAAAAGAGAAATTGATAACGTTAGTGAATAGTTTCCCCAAGACTAGGTTCATTATGTATAACAACCAGCAATCCATGTTAGAAGGCAAGAGTCTTTTTCAGAATCTAGGTATCTCTGGCATTACTTCCTTCATATTTTTCACCATTTCTTGGCTGTGTTATATGTTCATTACTTTGAGAAAATATTACTTAAGGAAAGCCCATCAGGACCTGAGATAAATCTAGTATACCCAAACAGGTGTTTCTTCTTTTATTCTGTACTAACATTTGGAAAGATTGTAAAAGATCCTTTCTTTCTTCAGAGTGTATTCAAGAAAGGAATTTGAATGCTCTACATGAAAAGAGAATTAAACTAAGCACCGTAATTTGTTTCTAAGGCAGTATGGGCTGTATTTGTGCTCAGTAAAAGTGTTAATCATGATTTGATTTTTTGACAGATATTTCTCGCTTTGAACTGAGTGACTCCTCCTCAGTAGAGAGCCTGGAGTGTGAGCTAAATGAGGATGTTTATGCTCCATTCCCTGATTTGGCCAAGGACCCTGGGCACTGGAAGACAAGAATACAGTCTATGTTAATGGACGTTGAGAATCTTGAGCCAGCCGAGGTGGCATACCTTTTATCACTCAATGACTTCCTCTTGGAGCATCCTGAATAGGGAGTTGCTCAAATGGATGGGCCTCTTAAAGCCACACCACATTTTCATTCTCACAAATAGTTTTGAGCTTGAGAACACAGGTGTTATTATTATCTCTGTTTTACGGCACGGAGATTAAGACTCAAAGAGTTACAGTAACTTGTCCAAGGACACTTTAAAAATGAATGGCAGAATGGGGACTCTCGGGCTGGTTTTCTGACTCTGGACCTGCGATCTCTTGAGGACAAGGTAATGCTCAAGATGGAGGGATGGGACTCTTCCCATGGACCTTCTGCTTCTCCATCTTTATTTTCTTCTTTCTCCTCCATCCTCTCCTCTTCTCCCCACCCTACACTGGCACTTCTTCCTCTTGGCTGCATTATTGTGTCTTCAATAATGTGTCTTCTTGTGCACTGGATAAACTCTCATCTTATTGTTCTCAGAGTTGCTGAAAAAGTGGGAGAAGTGCATCTCCATGGCTTCAAATGGAATTCTGTTGCTTCTATACCATAAAGTGCTGTAAGGAGAAGGACTTCTGGCTAGCTCCTGAGGCAGGTCTCTTACAGGCAAAGCAGAGGTACGTGTGCTGTGTCACTTCTAAACCCTGCCCATTGGGCTTAGACCTGGAAATAGGCCCTGGCTGTGAACAGGCAGCATGTGCATCAGAAGAGAATTTTGGTGGGGGAACCCACAGAGTAGTGACTGTGCTGTGATTCTGTGTTAGAAAAGCGGGACTTGGCTTTGTCTTGCTTCACACAACCAGGAAAAGCACTAGGTCCAAGCTGTCATTGTTGTGTGTTTAGTAAAAGAGTTTGATATCCAAAACCCAACCCTAGGTTGATTCTGATTTCTTTTAAGTCTTCTCTGTTCCTTTCCAAAATTTCTGCAAGGCACCCTATATTCTCCAGTTATCATTTATTTTAGCTCCTTTCTGAGTGTGTTACAAAACTAATGCCTATTTTGGATTTCACTTATATGTTTTCCTTTCCCTACAGTGCCTCCGGAGAGCAAAGCTACGATGAGGGCATCCGACGTGGGAACCTGTGATATGCATGCTAAACTTAAACTAAGGTGATGGCCAGTGACATTGCAGTGAGAGGGTTGTGAGTTGGGGTTTTCGAAGGCCTGTCCACAGAGGTTAAGGCCTGTTTTGTTTATTCCCTGCTCTCCAGGGGCCCTGATGATTTGTTTTAAATCAAATGGATTTAAATGAATAAGTAACCAGTCAGAAATAATGTTTTAAATCATTCAATTTTTAATTTTTCTTTTTTGGTTAAGAATATTGGCTATACTTTCAAAAAATAATTATCCAACCTGAGAGAAAAGCATTATTACAATCATTATTATATTTTTTGTTAGTTCACATGGGATAGGAGGGGAAGCAATAGTGTAACTGGCTCCATATAGTATAAAATGTTTTCTCAATAATATTTTTAGTTTCTTCACATTTCAAATGAGTTTTCAGTATACACATTGTGGCTGGGGCTGGCAGCTGTTAGTAACCCTGACAGCAAGATTTTTCTCAACCCTGGTAGCTTAGCAGCCATAGTCTCAAAATAGGCAGAAAATAGGCAGAGATACATTCTCTTTTGAGTTTCTTGACCAGGAATGGTGGAACCTTCTATGAAGCCTCAGACATCCTGTTCATCTGGAGAAGAAAAGGTAAGTAATACTACACCACAGACCATGCCCACAGACCCTCTAAGCCTGTGCACAAGGCTAAAAGAATCACCAATATTAACCCCTAGTTTATTATGATACTGAAATCCCCACCCTTGGAGGGGCTTATCTGCCATTTTTTGATCACGGGATGTATGTACTCACATAATTTCTCAGTGCACTTGCATACCCCGCACTCTACCCCAAACATACAATGATGTTCACACCCCTCCTTAATTATTTCACCTCTAGGAAAAACATGTTAATTGGGGAGGTTCATTTGAGGCAGTTCATAACCCGTCCCAGTTGACATGCCCACTGAAATAAATCCTTTCCTCCTTAACAGTCCTTGCTATCTCACTAATTGGCTTTCTGTGTGGCAGGCAACATCGAACCCCTGCCCTGTGGGTTTGTTTCCCACTTGGGGACTCATCCAGGATCCGTTGCTCATGGATTGGTGGCCAAGGAGTGGAGACAGACTCTGAAGCCTTCCCAGCAGCTGCCTGGCTGAGTTTCTGCCAGAGGTTGGTTTTGGTTTCTCCCACTAATTTCCCTGTTGCCAGCCCCCAGGTATGCCTGATTGTCAGGGGTGAATGGAGCTTTGAGTTTTGGATTTTGGCATTTGCCTCTGGACAGGTGAGAGCTCTTTGAAGGTACTGCACATCAGAGAAACTCATCTCACCCTCTGGGGAGGTTCTCTGGAATTCCCGTTTGGGTGGAGAGCCTCAGCCATTTGGGAGAGTAGGACCTAAAACTCCTCTCTCCATCTGGGGAATTCCTCCACAGTTCCTGTTTGTGCTAGAGGCCTCAACCATTTGGCAGGGTAGGACCTGTGACTGTTTGTATTGGGCACTCCTTAGGCTTATTTGTTGGAACTGCAGTACCTCTGGTGTGTGTGTTTGTGTGTGTGGCATGAGAAATACGAACTCCATCCGTAAATATAAAGGTTGTACAGTGGGAATCCTTTGTCCCTGCCGTTTGGGCTTTTGTGCCATTTGGACCTAGACCAGGTTGTTTGTGGTAACGGTTTGAGATAAGATTCTTTTTTTTTTTTTATAATTTTTTTTTAATTTCGGCGTATTATGGGGGTACAGATTTTAAGGTTTCAATAAATGCCCTTTCCCCCCCTCCCCCTATAAGTCTGAATTTCCAGCATGACCATCTGAGATAAGATTCTTAAAAACTTCTCTCTAGTCTCCCTGTATAAATATTTGTTTGAAGGTACTGTATTTGTTTTGGGTTTTGTTTTATCTGATGTGTTTTTCCCGGGCTTATGTTTGAAACCTTTTTGAATTTCTCTTTGTATTGAGTGTTTATCTATATTAGTATATAACATGTAAATGTACTGTCTATGAGAAAATTTAAAGAGATACCAGGTTTTCTAGGCCTCCAGCTAGTCTCCACATATTATGTTCTGTTCTTGTGCACATGTTTAAACTGGTAGGCAAATTACATCAGGAAAATTTCAGAGCTCAAATGGTCTGTCTGGCACTGTGGAGTTAAAACCCAAAGTTTGTTAAACTGTCTATCTTTTCCCTGCTGAAGCTGTGATTTCTAAGTTATGGGTGTTGAGATGGAGCTCACTGAATTATGTTATCACAAATTCAAGGCCAGCTGGGAACAGCTCATTTTAAACTGAAGGAAAAAAAGAGGTTAAAGAGGCCTTTTTAAAAAAAAAAACAACAACTCATACTGCCACAAAAGCTGCTTTACCCAAAATTTTAGTCCATAGTTTTCATGACATTGCCTCTTGGGGCACCTGAAGTTTAGCCATGTGAACAAGTCCCAACTGTGTCAAAAACAATTTGTTCCAACCATCTTTTTACAAACTGGTCTGAATATGGCTATAAGCCTATAAAGAAAAAATGATAAATTTGTGTAATACTGCCTGGCCCCAATACTCTTGTGGGTCTGGGAAAATATGGCCCCTTAATGGCTCATTGAGCTACAATATGATTCTTTATTTAGATTTTTTTTTGTCATCATGTTGGGAAATGGGATGAAATCACTTATGTACAGTCTTTTATGCTTCTGTATCAAAAGAAGCAGATCACATTAAATGTGAGATTCCGATACAGAGGACAGAAGCCTTTAATATGTTTGGGGAAGAAGCAACCAGATCTAAGAACCCTGTCTTGCCATCAGAAGAAAATGCCCATGTTGAAGTAGACCTTTGGGCAGCTGTAGCGGTGGCTCCAGCTCTGGCTATGCTGGCTCAGGCTCAAGCTGTGGCTGATGTGCCGGCTGCAGCTTTGGCCACAGTGGTGGCTCTGGCTGCAGCTCTGATTTCTTTTGGAGATCCCTCTCCTAACCCTCCTGTGCCCCGCTTATGACTCCAGCTCCCTTTCTTTCTTACCCCTCACTCCACTGGCTCCTCCAGCCATCTATCCTTCACTTCCTTCCTTCTCTGAGAATAGTCATGGGAAACATGGGGGCATGGTCTCTCCTTCACACACCAACAGGGCACACAATTTGGTTGAGGTCTTTCCTTCTTCCCAGCAGGGCAAGTTCCTTTGAGACAGGTCCCTATAGGAAGAGTAAATGAGAATGGACAACCAGCTGGATTAATGTTGGTTTATAACCCATTTACCATGTCTGATTTGTACAACTGGAAACAAAAGAACCCTGCCTACAGGGATGATCCAAAACCTATAATTGATCTGTTTGAATTTATTTTCCTCACACATCACCCCACATGGGCAGCTGTCCAGAGCCTGCTTGACATACTGTTAACCTCCGAGGAGCATTGCATTTTCCTGGAAAAGACTCAAGTAGAAGTTGACTGATTGCATGCAGAAGACCCAAATAACCATGTGAGAACTAGAGCTGATTTAGCCATCCCAACACATGACCCCATCTGGAACCCAAGCAATGGAGAAGAAGGTAACAGTCAACAATTTTGAGACTTCATCCTGGTTTGGCTTAGGAAAGGGGTCCCTAAAATGAAATAAGACAGGAAACAGATGAAAATCCATGATCCATCCTAGAAAAAATTATGAAGGCATATCAGAAATATACTGATATAGATCCAGAAAGTCCTGATAATTCAACGTTAATTAACGTGACTTTTGTTGGCCAGAATATCGATGATATCCAACAAAAGTTATGGAACTTAGAAGGGGTTCTCACTTTGCCAATCTCTCATTTGATTGATATGGCTTATAAGGGATTTATAAACCATGAACAGACTAAATAACAACAAAAGAGGGACAGGGAAACTACTGTACAATTGATGAGGCTAAATGCAGAAGATATGGAGTGATGGGTCCCCAGGGCTCCCCAGAATCTGTGGGAATTACAGCCAGTGATTAAGATCTCCCACAAGGAGCCCAGGGTAACCATAAAGTGAAAAAAAAATAACGGATTGATTTCCTGATTGATTCCTGGTATAACCTACTCAGTTTTAAACCTTAAACTGGCTAAGTTTACCAAAAACTCAGTGCTGGTGATTGGGGTATTTGGACAGTCCTCCCAAAATATTTTCTCCAGCCACTGGATTGTTCTATTGGGAAGTTGTTCCTCACACACGGTTTCTGTATATGCCTGAGTGACCTCTTCCACTGCTGAGTGGAGAACTTCTATCCAAATTACAGGCTCAAGTGATCTTTCAAAACAAACAAGTGCATATTGCAGTTCCCCCAGCACATGCCCGTGGCTTACAAGCAGCTCTGCTCACCTCCTTGGTTGTCCCTCAGAAGCTGCTCACTGAAGTCCTCACTCAAGTTGACCCTGAGGTCTGGACTACCAGACAACCTGGAAGGACACACGTAGACCCTGCTTATATTAACATAAAACCAGGAATTTCTCCTCCTCAACTCAAGCAGTATCCATTAAAGCTTCAAGCTAGGAAGGGTTTTGAACTCCTAGTTGTGGCCTTTTAAAATATGGACTTTTCCAGCCTTGTTACTCTCCTTATAACACTCCTATTTCGCTAGTTTAAGAACCTGGAACTCAGGAATATCTGTTTATTCAGGATCTGAGGGCAATAAACGAAATAGTGGAAAACATTCATCCTGTGGTACCTAATCCTTATATTCTTCTCACCACTCCATCTGGAAATTTTGCTTGGTTTTCAGTGATAGACTTAAAAGACGCCTTCTTTTGCATTCCCCATGCTTCTCAGTCACAAGAACACTTTGCTTTTGAATGGGAGGATTTAAGGACTAAAACCCAATGTCAGTACTGTTGGAATGTCCTATCTTGGGGATTTAAAAATTCTCCAACTATCTGAAGAAAGTCTAGCTAGAGATTTAAGAAAAATAATTTCAGAAAAAGGAGTAAGTTTGCAGTATATAGATGACATTTTGATTGCAGGGGGGACTGAACTAGAATTAAGACAACATGCTGTAACTGTATGGAATTTCTAAGCTGACAAAAGATATAAAACATCCCAGAAAAGGCCCAAATGTCACTGCCCAATTTCAGATACTTAGGATTTGAATTGTCTCCAGGAACTCAAAATCTCCTCTCAGATCACAAGAAGGCTGTAAACCATGTAGCCATCCCCACCTCTCACAAGCAGCTGCCAGGATTCCTGGGTACGGCAGGATTTTGTCTGATTTGAATTCCTAGCTGTGGCCTAATAGCCAGACCTCTGTATGACACCTTAAAAGAGGAGGAAAAGGAGCCCCTTACTTGGACAGGAGAATGTCAAAAGGCTTTTATTATTATTATTATTAAAGAAAAACTGATGACTGCCCCTGCACTGGGGCTTCCACATTTGCATAAACCTTTGAATTTGTTCATCCAAGAAAGAGAAGGAGTTGGAGTACAGGTATTAACCTAAACTTTGGTAGCTCATAAGTGACCTGTAGCAAAAAAAATAGCCCCTTGTTTCAGAGCAATTGCCACTACTTGTAATATTTAAGAAGTTGAAAAGTTTATGTTTAGACAGCCAGTAACTGTTCATACTGCATATTATGTGTTATCCCTAGTAGAACAGAAGGGGGGGCTATTGGTTGCTAACTGGCTGGTTGGGCAAGTATCAAGTACTCTGTTAGATTAGTCCTAATATAACTTTTTAAAGACAGTGTCCACCTAGAATCCTACCACCGTTGTGCCTATGGGCTCTCACTTCCCAGTTCAGGATTACATTCAAATCATTGACCAAGTATATTCTAGCCAGCTGGATTCGACTGATAAGCCCTTGTCAGACCTGGATGAGGAATTGCTCACTGATGGCAATAGCTTCATGGAACACAGACAACACAAAGCTGGGTATTCTGTGGTTTCCAGCAAACAGGATGTGTTAAAGCTTAACCGGCCAGGACTGAATGGACATCAGAAGTCACTAAGGCCCTTTTAAAGAACATTATTCCTAGGTTTAGACTTCTATCAACTCTCCAAAGTGATAATGGAACCTGCTTTGTTGCCAAAATCACCCAAGAAAGATCAAGAATTTTAGAAATTGTTTGGAAACTGCTTTCATCATGGAGATACCAATCTTTGGTGAAAATGAATAGATAAGTACAACCTTACAAAGGGCTCTCTCAGAATTTGTGAAAAGACCAATTTAACCTGGGACAAAGTGTTATGCCTTACCCTGTTGAGAATTCAGGTGGTCCCCAGAAGTAAGCTGGCACTTAGCCTCTTTGAAATTTTATATTGGAGACAATTCCTAAGAGGTTCCAGCCAGGGCTTATCTAATAATTTTCTATCCCCAGAGATGGAGTCTCATTCCTATATTAAACTACTACTAGTAGTTTAATACACTAACTACTATTTCTGCGTTTGCTTCTAACAGGTTCCAGTTTCCAATAGATGTGCCCCTTCATTCCATAATGCCAGGAGACAAGGTGTTACTGAAAACCTGGAGAAACCAGCATCCTGAAGATCAACTATAGCCACAGTAGATCAGCCCATTTGAGGTGCTCCTGAAAACTCATTCAACACTTAAACTCACAAGAGTTAAGCCATAGTTCCTCTGAGGAACTATGGAGTTCCTTCTGAGGGACTGGAGAAGCAATGGACTTATGAGCCCTTAGGGGACCTAAAATTACTCCCCCACAAAAGAGATAAGTAACATGAAATTATATACTCTATGCATTGTATTGTCCCTTGGGAATTTTTGCTTGCCTGGCAAGATAATTCTTTAGTTAAAATTTCCAAAGCTATTGCCTCTGCTAGCCTGTTGGGTCTGTCATCCAAAAACTTATTCAGTGCAAGACCATTCTGACCCTATACTTGTCCCTATACGCAATTTCACTAATATACCCTCCTGCACATGGAATTTACAGAAGCCTGTCTCTTGGATTACCTACAGAGTATGACTAATAACTCTCTACTCACAAGTCCCATGTTTCTTTCTTACCCAGCCCCTTATCAGATATTATATACAAAGTGACTGTAGGGTCCCATACTATCATAAGTGTACTTTCTACTGGGCCATCAGTCTCTCTAGATTGACCACTGATTGTAAAAACTCAACTATTACAGTATTTTTATAATATTAATAAATGTTTTAACCCCTCAGACAAGGATCATGAAGCCCTTATCTGTACCATAGTACATCAGCAAAAGCTGTATTCTCAAGACTTTGGGAAACTAGTAGCCTGTTAGCTCTGAGAGGGACAGGATCCCTTACACAGACCATTGGTTTAAAAATTTAACCCTGATGTTACCTTAAAATGGTTGTATAAACCTTCAAACAGGAACAGGTACTTTTTGTGTACCCCTTGGGTATATTTTTGTCTGTGGAGATAAGAAAGGAACTCCTTGGGCTTTTGACTGCTTAAATAGCTAGTCAATGGGGGATATTTGTTTACTAGGACTCACATTATCACTATATTTGAGCAGAACAAGGGGGTGTTTGTATTATAGCTAATTCTTCATGTTGCACTGATATAAATACCTCCACAGAAGTGGAAACACATGTTGATAAAATTAGACAATAAGCTTCATGGTTACAATGGATTAACAAAGAAGATCTAGGATAAGGAGACTGGGTCTCAGAACTGTTCTCTTGGATTCCTTAGAGTATTCACTCTATTCCTTTAAAGGTCTAATTTTACTAAAGATCTTAATATTTAGATCTTCCTTCTACTAATTTTCTTGATTTATCTCATTACAGATACATTAATTAAATGTGCATTAAGGTGTTGTTTCAAAACAAGCAAAAACGCTCAAGTAATGGTACTAGAGACTTTCAGTCATTCACCTATGACTCGTGAGCACTTTCAGCAACAGGCTAAAAGCTTTCAATCCTCATGCCCCAACTACGTCCTACTTCAGCAGAAAACAGCCAGATTGATCAAGACCCTGATTCCCCAAGATTGAGGAATGAATAAAGAAAAGGGGGGAAACAATAATCAGCTCCACAAGGTAGAAAATGTTTTCTCAATAATACTTTTAGTTCCTTCCTGTTTCAAATGAGTTTTCAATATGTACATTGTGGCTGGGGCTGGCAGGTATAAGTCACCTTGACAGTAAGATTTATCTCAGCTCTGGTAGCTTAGCAGCTACAGTCTCAACATGGGCAGAAAATAGAGAATTCTCAGGAAGATTTGCTGACCAGAACTTTATAACTTTCTGTTGCCCTGATACATTCTCTTTCTCATTCTTCTTTCCCAGGAATGGTGGAACCACCTACAAAGCCTCACACCACTTGTTTGTCCAGAAAAGACAAGATAAGCGATACTCCACCACAGACCGTGTCCAAGGACCCACTGAGCGCAAGCACGAGGCTGCAAGAATGACTAATATTAATCTCCAGATTATTAAAATACTAATAGGAGTGATCTATCTGCCACTCTTTGATCATGGGACATATGCACTGGCATGATTTCTCACTGCACTTGTTTGCCTTGCACTTTGCCCCAAACAAGCAATGATGCTCACACCCCTCATACATTATTCATTTTGCCCGAGAAAAAACCCCTGACCATGTTGGTCAGGGAGGCAGATTAGAGGCGGTTTATAACCTCTCTCTCCCATTTGATGTGTCTACTAAAATAAATCCTTTCTTCTTTAACAATGCTGTCTCAGTAATTGGCTTTCTGTGTGGTGGGCAACATTGAACTCCCCTTGTGGGTTTATTAACAATACCTGTAATTATTGGAATGCTGAATTAGTGAGAAAAAAATCTACCTTACTATTTATCATTCTATATTTTATATTTTATTATCTAAATATAAATTACTTTAATTCTTATTTCAGTAATATCCTACACTAATGACACCATCAGAAAGTTGTTTTTCATTGTCCTTTGGATGTCTTTTATAAAAAAAGTTTTTTCTTAAATATTAAACATTTAGAAAATAATCTTAATTAGAAATGTATGTTGATCTATTAATACCAATTTGCTGGTGAGTACATGTGGTGCTGGTTTTTCCATTCTTGAGATACTTCACTTAGTAGAATGGGTTCCAGCTGTATCCAGGAATATACAAGAGGTGCTATATCACCATTGTTTCTTAAAGCTGAGTAGTATTCCATGGTATACATATACCACATTTTATTAATCCACTCATGAATTGATGGGTACTTGGGTTGTTTCCATAGCTTTGCAATTGTGAATTGTGCTGCTATAAACATTCAAGTGCACGTGTCTTTTTCATAAAGTGACTTTTGATCTTTTGGGTAGATGACCAGTAGTGGAATTGCTGGATCAAATGGTAGATCTACTCGTATCGCTTTGAGGTATCTCCATATTGCTTTCCACAGAGGTTGAACTAGTTTGCAGTCCCACCAGCAGTGTAGGAGTGTTCCTCTCTCTCCGCATCCACGCCAGCATTTGTTATTTGGGGACTTTTTGATAAAGGCCTTTTTCACTGGAGTTAAGTGATATCTCATTGTGGTTTTGATTTGCATTTCCCTGATGATTAGAGATGTTGAACATTTTTTCATATGTTTGTTGGCCATTATTCTGTCTTCTTTTGAGAAGTTTCTGTTCATATCCTTTGCCCATTTTTTGATAGAGTTGTTTGATTTTTTATTGCTGATTTTCCTGAGTTCTAAATAAATTCTCATTATCAGCCCTTTATCAGATGTATAGCTTACAAAAATTTTCTCCCATTCTGTGGGTTGTTTGTTTGCTCTCTTGACAGTTTCTTTGGCTATGCAGAAGCTTTTTAATTTCATTAGGTCCCATTTGTTTATTTTTGTTGCTGTTGTGATAATCGCCTTTGGGGTTTTCTTCATAAATTCTTTGCCTAGGCCAATGTCTAGAAGAGTATTTCCAACATTTTCCTCTAGAATTCTAATAGTTTCACATCTAAGGTTCAAGTCTGTTACCCAGCGTGAGTTGATTTTTGTGAGAGGTGAAAGGTGTGGGTCTTGTTTCAGTCTTCTACAAGTGGCTATCCAGTTTTCCCAGCACCATTTATTCAATAAGGGTTCTTTTCCCCAGTGTATGTTTTTGTCTGCTTTGTCAAAGATTAGTTGGCTATATGAGGATGGTTTTATATCTGGGTTCTCTGTTCTGTTCCACTGGTCAATGTCCGTGTTCTTGTGCCAGTAAAAAGCTGTTTTAATGACTATAGCCTTGTAGTATAGTTTGAAGTCTGGTATCAACACCTAAGTGGACATATAGGAGTAATATTTATCGGGTGTCGGGAGGGTGGGAGGGGGGAAGACGGAATGGGTATATACAACCACAATGAGTAAGATGTGCAACGTTTGGGGGATGGACATGCTTGAAGCTCTTACTTGAGGGGGGAGGGGGACATGGGCAATATAAGTAACCTTAACACTTGTACCCCGATAATACGCTAAAATAAAAATAATAAATTAAAAAAATGTGTGAAGTATAAAGAACCATGATATATTGAACATGTGTGTCCCATTACCCAGTTTAAGATAAAGAATAATGCCAGTGCCTTGTGAGTTTCCAGGATCCTGGCCTGACCCCATTCCCTCCACTTTCCCTAGAAGTCATAATTCTCCTGAATTTTGTATTTGTTATTCCATTGTTTTTCTTTCAGTTTTACCTCATATGTTAGTGTCCCTAAATACCATATTGCAAAGCTTTGAAATTTTACTAATGTATTTCTACCAAATTTGGCTTTTCTCACTAAAATATTACTTGTTTGATTTATATTTTAGTTTTAGTATCTTATAATAATTGTATATGTTTATGGGATACAGACTGATGTATATGTACATAATGTGTAATAATCACATCAAGGTAATTCACAAATCCATCATCTCAAAGATTAATCATTTCTTTGTGTTGAGAATATTCAAAATTCTCTCTTTTAGCTTTGTGAAAATATATAATAAATTATTGTTAATCCCTACAGTGCTATAGAACACCAGAACTCATTCTTCCTATCTAGCTGCCATTTTGTATCTATTGACCAATCTCTCTAATCCTTTATTCTCTCTTACCTTTCCCAGCTTATAATAATCATAATTACACTCTCTGCTTCTATAAGCTCAAGTTCTCTTTAGCTTCCACATGTGAAAATGTGCAGTATTTATGTTTCTGTGTCTTCATAAACTAACATAATTATATATTGCATATTGCCAAAATGTAGTATCCCACTGTATCAAAATATAAACGTTTATTTCCTGCTGCTGTTTTTATTCATAAATAACTATGAATTTCCATAAATGTAAGAACTCTTTGTAAAAAAAAATAAATGAAGTGTTTTGGTGAGTTAATTATACCTATCAATATAGCACAAAATATACAGCACAAAAATACTATCACCTGCCTCACCTCATATTTTCTTATACTAGAAAAAGAGAAAACAGGAAACTTTATTTAGTTTGGATTTGCCCCATAGCAGACACTGAGACAGAGGTTTGGATATGAGCAATTTATTTGGAGGATGATCCCAGGAAGTGATGGGAAAGAGACAGGAAAGGACAGCCAGTTAAGCAAGTGTCTGTGGCTCACCACTGTGGAGAACTGAGGCTCAAGCCCACTGCGGATCCCTGGAAGGACGGTGCCTAATGACATCTAAGTTGTCCCACTGAGGTGCAAAGGAAACTAGGGTGTTTTTGTACCAAATCCTGCCCACATTGATTGGTAGATGTTCTGGGGAACATTAATCATGAGAGGGAGGCTTCTGGCGAATTTCATACATGTAGGCAAACAGACATCCCTGGCCAGAGATTCCCTCAGGCAGAGGACATGGGGTTCCCTCAGCACATACACACTTTGTGTAGGTAACCTCTGGAGTAGGCTGAGGGAATATGGGTTGAGGAAATATATGGGTGTATATTAACTGGTGTGTATATAATTATAAATGCATAATTAAAGATATGTGTGTATGAGTGCCTATATTGAGATAAACTGTGGTTCATATTGATGTTTCCTGCTCTTGTTAATTGTCATATGATTCACTCTAGAAATCTTCCTTTGTTTACCTATAATCTTCCACTCTTAAGAAATCTGGCTGCTATCATCCACATCCCATTTATTTACTTGTTCATTCCTAGTAGAAAAAAAACTACAATAGTTTCAGAATTGTTAACCCGTACTCCTGTGGGAAACAACTTTACCAACTGCCTTATCAACTGGAATACTGTGCTTATGTACAATTCATTTTATTTTTAATCCTGCAATATCCACTCATTTCCAAAGTTACTCAAGTCAGCACCTGTCTTGACTCTTTCACTGATGTTATGCCATGCATTTATAACACAGACTCTTTTGTCACAGTCTACATTCCATCATGGGGTCTCTTGTCTCATTTCTGTTTAAGAATTCACTTATATCAAAGTTCGCTCTTTGTGCTGTAATATTCTATTAATTTTGTCAAATGTGTAGTACCACTACAATATCATACAAACCCATAGAGAATCTATGCTTCACCTATTTACCTGTTTACTTTCTAGATAGGTTTTCCTTTTCCAGAAGGATCATATAAATGGAATTATACAATGTATAGCCTTTTCTGACTGGCTTCTTTGATTTAGCATAATGCATTTAAGATTTAATTTATTATTTTTATTATGAATTTTTATGTCTATATTTATGAGACCTATTGTCCAGTAGTTTTTTTTACCTTTTTTTGGTATGCTGACTTCATGACTGGGGAAGTGTTTCCTCTTCTATTTTTTTGGAAGAAATCTTGTAAAATTGGTATTAATTCTATTAAATGTATGTTAGACTTCACCAATGAAATGTGGATCCAGTGTTTTCTTTTTTGGAATATTGATCATTACTAATTTCATTTCTCTAATAGGGCTATTGAGGTCATTTTTCTCTTCCTGAAAGAATTTAGTAATTTCTGTTTTTCAAAGAATTGATTCATTTTCTTTAAGTTATTAAATTTGTGGGCATAGAGGTGTTTGCAATATTCTCTTTGAACAGCCACGAGATTAGTAAGGGTGAACCATTTTTCACTATTGATATTGATAATTTGTGATATTTGTTTTTTTCTTGGTTGACCATGCTATAGTTTGAATATGTTTGTCCACAAAACATCATGGAATGTGATTGCCAATGTTGGAGGTGTGGGGCCTAATGGGAGGTGTTTGGGTCATGGGGGTGGATCCCTCATGAAAGGCTTGGCGGAGCCCTCCCAGTAATGAGTGGTCTACTTCCTGCCAGAGATGGTTGTTTAAAAGTCTGGCACTTCTCTATCTTTTGCTTCTTTTTCCACCATGTGATCTCCACATCCTGGCTCCACTTCTGTCATGAGTGGAATCAGCCTGAGGTCCTCATTGGAAGCAGATGCTGGCACCATGCATCTTATACAGCCTACAGAAGCATGAACCAAATAAACCTCTTTTCTTTATAAATTACCCAGCCTAAAGTATTCCTTCATAAAGATGTAAACACACTAAGATTGCCTATAAGTTTATCAGTTTTATTCACCCTTAAAAAGAAAGAATTTTTGGCTTCATTGATTTTTTTTCTGTTTTCCTATTTTCAATCTTTTTGATTCTGCTTAAAATTTTATTACTTTTTTTCTATTCTTGTTTTATATTTGCTTTTCTTTTTGTAGTTTCTAAGGTATAAGCTTAGTTTATTAATGTTAGATATTTTTTCTTTTCTAATTTTCCCTCTAAGCACTGCTA